AGTTCTCTGAAAACATCCACCCAATGTGTAATAGTCACAAAAGCGAACAGAATATTAGGAACCATTAGGAAAGGGACAGATAAGACAGAAATATATTGCCTCTATATAAATTCATGGTTCACTCACCTCTTGAATACTGTGTGCAGTTCTGGTCAGCCCGTCTCAAAAAGGGTATATTAAAATTGGAAAAGAGTACAGAGAAAGGCAACAAAAACGATTAAGGGTGTGGAACAGTTTCCATCTGAGAGATTAAAGAGACTGGGACTGTTCAACTTGGAAAAAATGATTAAGGGTGGGGGGGATATGCTAGAGGTCAAAAAGTTGTGAGTGATGGTGGAGAAAGTGAATACGTGCCATAGGCGCTGATTCTAAGGGTGCTCCTAGGCTCAAGCACCCACGGGAAGAAAATAGTGGGTGCTCAGCACCCACCAGCCACAGCTGGGGGAGGGCGGAGAGCAGTAAGCAGCGAGCGGGGGCCTTGGGCAAGGGGCTGGAGCAGGGGTGTGAAGAGGTGGAGCGGGGGCAGGAAGAAGTCGAGCAGGGGTGGGGCCTCAGGGAGGAGGCTGAGCAGGGGCAGGAAGAGACAGATCGAGAGGGGGGTGGGTCTCAGGGAAAGGGGTAGAGTGGGGATGGGGCCTCGGGGCAGAGTGGAGGTGGAGCACCCCAGGGGAAAAATAAAAGTCAGTGCCTATAGGAAGTGTTATTTACCCCTTCACATAACATACGAACCAGGGGTCACACAATGAAATCAATAGGCAGCAGGTTTAAAAACAAACAAAAAGTACTTCTTTACACAATGCATTGTCAACTTGTGGAACTCATTGCCAGGGGTTGTAATGATAGCCAAAAGTATAACAGGGTTCAAAAAAGAACGAGATAAGTTCCTGGAGGATAGGTCCATCAATGGCTATTAGCCAAGATGGTCAGGGAAGCAACCCCACACTCTGGATGTCCCTAAACCTCTGGATGCCGGAAGCTGGGGCTGGACGACAGGGGATGGATCCCTCAATAATTGCCCTGCTCTGTTCTCTATATGTGAAGTATCTGGCATCAGCCACTGTTGGAGGACAGGATACTGGGTAGATGGACCATTGGTCTGACCCAGAATGGACATTCTTATGTATGTTTCAGTATTACCGATCCTAAGCACTTAAAAATCAAGTCTGGCTTAAAAATCCTGAGATTTCTTTAAATAATAAAGGTTGGAATGTTTATCTCTGCCTTTACGGTACACTTGCTTCATGTTTTTCAGCTTCTCTCTGCAAACATGAGGGCTACAAACTTATTTTAAAACAGAGAAAAGAAAGCTGAGATTCTCAAGTAATCACATGACTCCAACAGCTGAAAAATAAGACGAGCAATAAAACTGTGAAACTCGGCCACGTGCAATTGTTTTACATCATAGCTGGGAATTCTGATTGCTAGCAAAGGTGTATTTGCTTGGCAGGGCAGTGCTGCTAGTCCCCACACTTGGGATTCTGGGAGCTTGGGCCCTGCCAAGGTGGGACTCTCAGTTCAGGAGGTGCAAGGGAAAATGGATGTGCTGTGGTTCACTGAACTAGTTTCAACTTCTGCTGGCTAAGGAGCAGCACTGACGGGTTCCACAGGGAACACTGCCCACCATCCCTGGCTGGGCCTTCTTCCTCCCCTCACCTCCCAGCTCACCATCTGTCCAGTTCATCTTTTCTCTCGCGGTGCATTTCTTGTCCTGTCTCCTCTTCATTCCCAGCTCTCCTCAGTGATGCAAGAGACAGAGATGATCATGTTCTCTGCGCTCAGAACAGATGCCCTTGCTGTCCCAAAGCTTAGCTCCCCATATCAATGCTTGACCCTCTCCTGGCCTGAGTGACAGAGGTAGCAGCTGGAGAGGGCTTGCGCTTCCTGTGGGAAAGTTCCCTGAGAGGGAGAGAAAAGCCCGTTGGATGCCAGACTGTGCGAGAGTATAAGGGGAAGAGAGGATGGGAATATGGAGTCCCTTGCCCTTTTCCCATGGCCCCAGTCTTAGCTGGCAGCCTGACTGGTATTGGGTTATAATCTAAAGCCTCATTACACCGAGCTGGAATATTTAGAGAATAAAATGAAATAGCAGACCTCCCTTTTAGCTTGTAGACTGGGATGCAGGGTGTAATTACTTTCATTCTTTAACCTTAGATGGTGTTTTTTTAAAAAATCCCAAAGCACTTTACAAAGCTATTATCCTTCCCATTTTATGGATAGGGAAACTGAGGCGGAGGGGGGTTGAATGTCTTGCCCCAGACCACGCAGTGCATTGTTGGCAGAGTCGAGACTATAGAGCGAGAGACCTGCTTTCATCACTGGGGAAGCTGCTAAATTAGAGCTACAGTGGGCTCCATTTAAGGTTTAATCTAAAGGCTCACGTAGCCTTATGGTCAAGATCAAATTGACAACTAATGGGATGCAGAGGGATATGTTCTCTGTAAGGATATTACAGTGTATCTTGCACTTGTTGGTAGATAGACTCAGTAGGCCTTTTCCCTCTCAGATATTCACACTGCATGGTGGTAAAAAAGCCCTCAGGCCTAAACAGCCACAATCAGAGAGTTGGATATTTCAGAGGAAGGTGGAAGCAGCCGGTCATTAGGGAGAGGCAGCCTGGCCAGATCCAGTAATCCTCCTCTCTTCCTATGCAGCTATTACTGAGATCTCCCTTATCAGGTCAGAATCATCAGATCCCAGGTGGAAGGGTTATGGTCCCCACCACATGGAAAGCAGGCAGAACCACAGATTAGCTGCCCTGATTACTGGATTTTACTCAGCCCTTACAGTCCCTACTTAGGGACCGAGTAAACACTAGATGAGGACTTCAGCAGCTGCCTGATGGTGAAGTGAGCTCCCTTTGGAAGCAGCAGTCACCCCCTCCTACCAAGGTATTCAATGTTGTCTGACAAGTAGCTCTTCCCCACCCCCTCCTCTGCCTAGGCAGAGTGGAAGAGCAGAAGTTGCTACTATCCTGCGGAGAAGGGGGATAAGGAGAAGTACTTGGCCATTGATTTTGCTGCAGCTGCTCCCCTTAAGGAGTGAATATGGCCTTCCAGCAGCCCTCCTGCCATTACCCCTTGCAGGAGGTGAGACATCCTGCCACTGCTGGGAGGGAGAAGCATCTCTTTTGCCAGGCAGGCCTTAAAATACCCTAGAAACTCTCTTTATAGTAAGCCTGTGGAGGAAGACACCCCCCCAGAGCTATAACTAGGCATTTTTAGCACCCAGGATGAGCAGACATGGTGGGTGGGTGGAAACACAGTGTCACATGGCCCCCTCAATGTTTTTGGTTGCACCCACCCCAACCCTGACAGGCTGGGTGGCCCACTGAAGTGAGTGAGGGGATGCAGGTGGCACTCCCTCCCCAAACCCCATCTGGTATTGCTGCACATCCCCCAGTGTTACTGCTCCCCCCCACCATTGCTCTGCACCCCCCCCAGAGCACACCCCACAGTTTGAAGATCTCAGTGGGGCAGTCACATACCCCCCCAAAATCTCTAAACTGTGCCCCCCAATCAACAGTTACATATCAGTGGGAAGCAAGCAGCTACATTTCCCCCCCCACTTTTTTCTTCCAATCCCCACTTTTCCACCCTACACTTTGTGCCCCGCTTGCCCCAGTTACAGCCCTGCACCCACACATCACTCTGAGGCACGTATTGTATCCTACTGTGTCCTTTGTGCTGCCGCACCAGGCTATGCATGGGGGGGGGGGGGGGTCACTCTGTGGGAGGGTTTGGAAGAGCGGACTCACCCCTAGCACACCTGTTTTGGTCCTGACCTAGCAGGCTCTCCTTTTCTAGCACCCCTGCCAACAGCCCCTCTGGCCCTGCAGTGGTCTTCCTTCCAGCCAAGTTATGCTTCATCCCACCCCTCCCCCAGGGCGGGCAAAGAGTCCAATGAACTCAAATATCACTCTTCACCCCTACCCAGGGATACTCTGCCAGACTCTTCACCCCTTCCTGGCCTCTACAGGCCTGTCCTCCCACTCACCTGCAGAGCAGTGCCTCCCAGCTCCAATTCAACAGCCTTTCTCCCCCTTGCCTCACGGTGTTACCACACCACCTTTTCCAGTGGAACAGTGGTGGATGGAGCCCAGGCCCTCCCTCTCCTCTGGGTTGCAGTCCAGGGACCCCATAGCAAGCAGCAAAGGTCTGCTGCCTCACACTCCTCCCTGGACTTCTTCCTACACTGCTCTTCCTTCAGACCCTTTCCCACAGCCCTGTCCCCTCCCTAGGCTTACTGTATAGCTGCCTCTCTTCCAGCCCTTCCACCACACCATAGGCACAAGCTGACCAGCTCTTCCCTTCTCACCCTACAGGCCCCTTTGCCTCAGGGCTTTCTTCCTTTATGAGTACCACCCAGTTCTTCCCCCAGCTGGGCTTCATCTTCAGTTAGGCCTGGCCCACCCTCCAGGTGCAGCCAGGTACTCTAAGTGCTCTCTGTCTCCAGTTAACTCTTGCATTGCCTGTGTGGGTACCTGCCCCATCACAGAGTGTGATAGGGCTGGGTTCTGTGTGTCTGCATGTGCATGTCTGGTAGGGTACGTGTGGAGGTAAATGGGTGTGAGGCGTGTGAGACTGACTCACTGTGGGACTGGATGTGTATTTGGAGATGGTGTGTTAGGAGGCTCTTCTCCTGTCGTGACTGCACTGAGCTCTCCAGAGACAAGGCCACGGGGGGAGGACATGGCAGAGACAACCAGTCAACTGCATTTAATTTTAAAGCAGGGGCTGCTGTCTGAGATGCACTTGAAGCAGACAAACCACAGGGAGATGCTACTGTATGGAAGAGGCAATGGGGCTGGGATGGAGACTGAGCAGGACACTTCGGACACCCATGCCCTGTGTTGCCCCTGAGAGTATGTGGATCATCCAGGCCCGAAGAGCGTTTGCAGACTGCTTCCCTGGGCTAATAGAGCTGCTGGCAGTAGTGGTGATTTTCTGGCTCCTAGCCCAATACCTTGCTGAGAGTGTCCTTTTTCTTTGTGGTGGAGACAGCAGCCCCACAGTGTGGTACAACGGCGCCTCCTGGAGGGGAATCTGAACAAGCTGCGGGGGGAGAGCAGGGAATATACCACATGGGTTCAATCCCCACTGGTGAAGGACAAGGATGACAGGGCAGAAAAGAAAGAGAACGACAGAAGGAAAGAGACTGTGTCCCTGCTCGTACACTGCAAGGTAAGGACCTCTGCAAGTACACAGTGCCACTTTTATACACTCACTTATATTAGTGAGAGAAAATACTCACTGGATCCCACCTGCTCCACTCCCAGGGAACCAGTGCCAGAATGTTAACTACAGGCTGTTCTCTCGTGCTTTTTGTCCAGTCTCATTTCAAATGACCCAAGCAGTGGAGGTGCTTCCTTTCTGTTCTCCCTCCTGTCCTGCCATTCCTCATCCCTTTTTCTGTGTCTGTCTCATAGCGATTGCCAAACTGGATCAGACCAGAGTCCATCCAGTCCAGGATCTCCTCTCTGACAGTGGCCAGATTTCTTTCTTTCTTTCTTTCTTTCTTTCTTTCTTTCTTTCTTTTTATGCTCATCAGAACAGCTATGTGTTCCCTGCTTGAATTTGAATCTACTTTATTTTGGTTTCTCCCATGGAGCAGGGAGCTCACCTAGTGCTGCATTTTGACTGTATGTGAGCAATTAGTAAGGATTCAAAAGATTTCTTCATTCAGTTGAACCCACAAACATTAAACAGCTCCACGGAGGTGGTGTTACTTTAGCTTCCGTAGTGCCTTTCTTCTTAAATTGTTCCATATAAGAAGGTCATCCTGAAGATAGCACTCCCAGCATCCCCTTGCAAGCTCTGAAGCAAGTCCAGAGGGTGCCCACGTATGTCTGAGCCACCACTGAAGTATGTCAAATGCTGTGTGATTAAAGTTATTGGATAACACATTGGATAGATCCAGTTTTTGGTAAATTTTAGGTGACTAGATTATGAAAATACATTTTAAAGCTACATTTAAGTTTCAGGGGCTAGCTTTAAATCCCTTAGTATACTTGTATTCAAAGACAAGACTTTCAGTAAAATATATGTCTTTGCACTTCCAGTTAGCACACTCAGGTACCACAGTTGTATACAAATGTACACACCATCTTCTGGAAAGTTTAAACCCAAGTACCTCAGGCCCACGTAACTAATTATTTGTCTGTTTTGTTTTCAGACTCTTGCTGTTAGAGATACTCAGCCTTATCTACGCTGAGTTTTAGCCCCTGGAGTAGCTATGCTGCCATAACTGCAATAGAGCAAACTGGGACTTGCACTGGTGTAAAGTCATGGCTTGAGTTGTTGGACTATATATGGGTAACTAAACTGCTTGCTCAAGCCCCAAGGTAGTCAAGGCCTCAATTTGGTGAATAAAGGGGTTTGATTATTTTAACATCAGAGAGTCTATGTATTTCCATAAATGGAGACTGAGAGTGGAATTTTTTTGGTCTTATGCTGGACAGGTGTCGGGAAGGGAAATCCAGCCATAGCAACACGTAATGGAGTCTTTTACCAACCCTGGCGTCAGACCCTGCCATTGCCTCAGTTTCCCTTTTTGGGCTTCCCAAGAGCTGCACCCAGGCTCTCATGCAAGTTAAATAACACCCTTTCTTGGGCTCTGGATTATTAAACCAGCATCACAGGTCAAACATCACTTTGGTTTAAATGGAGTCTGTCCCAGCTCCACAGTTTCTTCAGCCACTTGTTGGGCTCAACAGTGCTTTCCCAAAACCCTATCCCTAATCCTGGGCATGGGCACCGCTTCCTTGCAGGTCTCCTTTTCCCTCTCAACTCCCTTGTATCTGCCTTAAAGCCCAACACCTGGGGGGAGGCATCTGCTAAGGCAAAGATGAGGCTGAGCCCTTTAAGGGCCAGCCCATCCTGTGAGAGGCAGTCTGAATTTCCATGAAAACCCCAGAGAATGTGTAACCCCTTCACATCAGTGATTCTGAAGCGCTGAAGACTGTTGTAGTCAGGCCTGTTTTGTTCTGCTTAGTGGTAGTCAAAGTGTTATTCACAGAGCTTTCTGGTGTTTCCACCTTAAGACAGGAACTCCTCTAGAGGAAATGTACACATTTCCTTTGGTCCTGCAACTTTTCTAACTCACTTCAGGGATAAAAACACGTGCATGGAAACAGTTGTTGTAGCTTTCGAGGGAGTCACCGGAAGGCTGCAGGTTCTGTGTAAGTAGTTAGGTCCGGGAGAAATATTTATTGCCAGCTGTGATTAGGGTGACCAGACAAGAAATGTGAAAAAATGGGACAGGAGGTGGAGGGTAATAGGAGCCTATATGAGAAAAAGACCCAAAAATTGGGACTGTCCCTATAAAATCGGGACATCTGGTCACCCTAGCTGTGATGTTGTTCTTAAGAGAGACTGAGCACATCCCCAGGAAAGCCTGTTATATGTGCCAGAATCTGTCTGTGTGAAATTCATTCCTCAGCTCAGAGCTACTCTTTCTAGATTAGAGCCAAGCAAGCAAACAGAATATTATGTGGGGTGACGTGTCCCCATAATGTCCCTTGGCTGCAGTACTTGGCATATACTTGGAAATAAAGCTGACTGCAGATAGGCAATAGTAATTATTATGTGAGGATCCTCAGTCTACCATTATTTTCACTCTCAGGCAACTACACAGTTGAATTGCTTTTAGGGCCTTGGTTGGTTCCCGAGATCACAGACAGTGTCCAATAAACATAGTTTCTGCTGCAGAGTCATTGTGGCGTCTGTTTATTTGATTTATGCGAGTTCTTCAGACAGTTCAATAGCAAAGTGCCCCTTTTTCATCACACGGTTTGCCAGCTGCAGTTTTTGCAAGGCATTTTGGAAAGTCAGTCACGTGACTGACATCTGCACACCAAAAGCAAGACGTTATTTTTGTGTATTGTTCATTTGGAAACAGACACTGAAGGAGCCCACAGTGTGAGGCTGTTTTTCCTCTGTGCTGAGCTTGGGCTGCAGGCACAAGACAGAGCTCAGTTGATGGAAGCAGCTGGCTGGCTTTGAAACTGACATGATTTCTGCAAAAATAGCTGTTTGTAAATGATTGATTCTTAAAAAGTCCTTCCCCTCCTTTCTTTCCTGGAAATTTGGTTAATAAACACTGAATAAACAATAATGGCATCTGATAGCTGCAGATTTAAAGTTTTATAGTAATTCTGAATAGGGTTGCCAACTTTGTAATTGCAGAAAACCGAACACCCTTGCCTCGCCCAGTGCGCCAAGGCCCCACCCCCACTCACTCCATCCCCCCCTCCTTCCATCGCTCGCTCTCCTCCACCCTCACTCACTCATTTTACCAGGCTTGGGGAAGGGGGTGGGTGCGGGAAAGGGTAAGGGCTCCGGCTGGGGGTGCAAGCTGCGGGGTGGAGCTGGGGCTGAGGGGTTTGGGGTGCAGGAGGGGTCTCCGGGCTGGGGCTGAGGGGTTCAGATTGCAGGAGGGGGTGAGGGCTCCGGCTTGGGGTGCGAGCTCTGGGGTGGGGCTGGATGAGGAGTTTGGGGTCCAGGAGGGGGCTCCGGGCTGGGCCAGGGGGCTGGGGTGCAGGAGGGGGTGCGGACTCTGGGAGGGAGTGGGTGTGGGAGGGGGCTCAGGGCTGGGGCAGGGGATTGGAGTGCGGGCTCCAGGCGGCACTTATCTCAGGTGGCTCCCGGAAATGGTTGGCATGTCCCTCCAGCTCCTGGGTGGAGGGGCCAGGGGGCTTTGTGCATTGCCTCCACCGGCAGGCACCGCCCTCGCAGCTCCCATTGTCTGCAGTTCCCAGTCGATGGGAGCTGCGGAGCCTGCGCTCGGGGTGGGGCAGCCTGTGGAGTCCCCATGGCCATCCGTTAGCCTAGGAGCCGTAGAGACATGCCAGCTGCTTCCCGGGAGCTACATGGAGCCAGGTAGGGAGCCTGCCAGCCTGCATCAACTGGACTTTTAATGGCCCACTCAACAGTGCTGACTGGAGCTGCCAGGGTCTCTTTTCAACCGGGTGTTCTGAATGACTATGAGGAAGGCCTGAAACCCGGGTCTGCTCGTAGTCCTCATCTGCTCTTTCACCCAGACTGTGTTATCATTAGGGGTTCCTCTAGGGCAGGAATTATCCTCTGGCTTATAATGAGTTCATGAGACAGTTAGGAAACAGTCCAGTCCTTCAAAACATCACTGATCTGGTGGATATTAGTGAATAGTTAACTTTCTAAGAAACTGCCTTTCCACCACACTCTAAAACAAAGTCCATCCCGTGTGTAATGGCAAAAGCTCACCCCTTCCTGGAGTTTGGTTTTATTAATAAAGCAATTAATCGTAACATTACACAAAGTGCAGCTCAAGCCTCCTTCTGAGGTTTGGCTGCTCCTAGGGTTCCTCTTTCAGGATGGCTCAGCCCACACCCTAGATCCTCTGTTCCTAGAAAGCCACACCCATTTCCCTTTTATCTGGATGGAGCAATGAGCTACCTGCCTCAGTTAGTCAGCAGAACCTATTTAAGCCTTTCCCAGCAGCATCAACACCTATTAATGGGATGGAATGTTTCAGCCAAATGCTGCCAGCCCATTGCAATCTTCACAGTCATTGGTCTCTATTGTAGTATACATGACACATCATAAAGATAGCACTGTGCACCCTACTAGCCAGTCAGGAGGCAGGATTCAGCACCTCCCCTGTGCTACAGTTTGGTATAATATATGTGAAGGCAGATGTCCTGGGGTGTGTGTGTCAGTGTTTCATGAACACCCCATTCAGTGAGCATTCTGTGGCCAAGACAGCTTTTCAGCGTTCTAAAGGAAAAAAGAGAGAAATTTGGATGCGGTTGGGTCAGAACTTGGCCTTCTGGGTACAGTCCAGTTCTGTGAGCGTTCACAGCAGGGACAGATGGTTGGCTCTTTCCATTTCAGTAAAAACAATGAGGAGTCCTTGTGGCACCTGTTCTCTTTCCAGCTGCCTTAAGTTTAGGGCACTAGTTTTTGCCATAGGCAGATGCTGCCACGATCCGAGGGGGGCCATGGGAGAGGGAATGAGCACACTGGAGAGTGGGCTCCTCTACCGGGCACATTCTGGTGCTTAACCTCAGAGGGTTGGAAGGTCTGGGACCTGTATGAAGTAACTGGCAGCAGTAGCTTCCAGGGAAGCAGCCCTGTCAGCCTCAGGAGGGCTTTTAGCTTCATTCTGTGAGGCTTTAACATCCTACTCCATGTGCCCATGTCCATTGTGTACAAAGAGGCAGGAGGTGAGCATGAATGGAGTACAGCTGAGTAGGTTTGTGCTCTGAATAGGCAGCAGCTTGGCTGGGTCTCTCAGTCCTTTCATGCAAAAATTCATCACAAGAAGAGAACAGGCCCGGCTGCTCAGCAGCATGAGATAGGACTGCTCATTTGCCACGGAGCTGGAATGGGAGGGATACTTCTGTGCTAGCGTGTCCTGGTTGATAGACTCAGTGCTTTGGGCCTCTTCTGGGGCTGGTTTCTCTGCCTTGTTTTACATTCCAGGCATGTTGCTGCTGGGCTTGGAATATAGAGGTTCATGTTCTCCATTCAGCACCTTCCAACCCCATTCCCTCGCAGGACACCCGTGTTTTCCTGACTAGCATCCAAATGACTGCTTAGCACAACGGGAGGGATGCACCGTTTGGTAGGGTAAGCATCATGCTGGGAGTCAGGATTCCCTGAAATCTATCTTGGCACTGACACCCTCTATGACCTGGGTCCAGTCACTTAAATTGTCTGCCTCCCCGGGGCATTGTGAGAAATAGTTCATATTTATGAAGTGCTGAGTGTTATGATTAATTAGCTAATGTTTGTAAATCATTCTGAAGGTGAAAAGTGCTATGTAAGGACTGCGTGTGTTTATTATTGAAACTGGGGATTATAGTGGAGAATGTGCCAGATTTAAGCCTTTGTAACTGTGAAACTCCCTGGACTGATTTACTTCAAACATACCTGGATGTTTAGAAGGGGAGCTACTCATTGAGATAGGCTGGAGGTTTCCAGTTTCAGTAGTTCTGGTCTTCTCTGTGCACACATTGTTTTGAGTTCATCACTAATACTTTTAAGTCTCGGACTGCTGTTTATTTTATGACCCCATTTTAGCTGCTTGTATTTTTCCCTCACAGCCTATTTTCTCCTCTCTCACAACTCACCGGCCGTTTGTTTTCAAAATGAAATCTCATATTTGAGTTAGCCCTCCGGGAGGATTAGTCTCTATAACAAGCTTGGAAAGTGTTGGTTTAGAAATCGGGAGGCACCTTAAAGATTAACAGATTTATTTGGGCATAAGCTTTCATGGGTAAAAAAACCACTTCTTATAAGATTTATAATAAATCTGTTAGTCTTTAAGGGGCCACCAGACTCCTCGTTGTTTTTTGGATACAGACTAACACGGCTACCACTCTGATCTTTAGAAATCGAGAAATTATGAACTCCCCCTTTCATTAACCCTTTTCTCTCCATTAGCTCCCTTGGCACAGAGCAGTAGATCGCTACCAGTGTCATACTCAGGGTTAGACTGGGCAATCCTGCACTGGAGGTAGTACAGAGCTGTCCCTAAGTGGAGCTCTGGGAGGATTGCTGTTGCCTCCAGCTAGCCCACAGCACTAGCTCACACAGTGAAATGAAGAAAATTAACACACAGGCAAAATATATGGGAAATTTTCATGACAGCAAGATGTGTTGGTCTATAGAAGAGTCTTCCTAAGGGAAAGGGGGGAAATTTCATCACTTGGCTCATTTAAAATGAGTCCTGGACAAGGCCTTGGAGAGTAGGCTCTTGAAACAGGCCTGCACTGGCTGGGGGCAAGATGGATGGACTGGATGGAGCTAATATGACTTTTCCTTCACCATGTTCTGTAATTCTGTCCCGTTTTTCTCTGATCATGTTTCCTATTGATTCCAGTGTCAATCCACACAGCTCCTGGCAACCCTGGGTTTTACAATCCCCTCCCAAGTACTGAGAACTGCTACTGCCGCAAGGTTTGAAAGCAATGCTACCATGGGCTGTGGGGATGAGTGAGCAGGAGGCAAATGGTGATTGCTCCCCTGTGCTCCCTGGCTGAGTGCGAAGGGGAGAGGAGGTACAGCAGGGAAAGAGTCTGTCCCCTTCTAATTCCTGAATGCTGCAGTGGTTCCAGGGTAGGGTAGTCTGTCTCTTCCCCGTGACCCTCTCCCAGTACTCGCAGGAACTGGAGCTGGAGGGAAGAGAGAGAATTCACTCCAGGGGGATAGCAAACAAGAGTACAGTTTGTGGCAAGAGAATGCAAGACAATGTGGCAGGGGCTCAGTGGGTAGGCAGAAGGGAGAGTGAAACAAGGGATGATGCTATAGTGAGATTGAAGCAGACCCATCATCCTTCCCTAAAGATGCCAGAAGGGAAGGGGGTGGCAGGTTACTGGGCTTCTCATAAGAAGACAAATAGAGGAAGATGCTGGTGGAATGGGGTTCACAGAGTCTTGCTGGGGCCTCCATGGGTTCCCAGGAGCACCCCAACTTGTGGATGCTTATCTGAACCCCAAACCTTCTGATGTTCTTTTGTCACTAGTTTTTAGGGATTTTCACACTATTGCCAGGGGTTTTTGTAAGGTTTGTGTCAGTTTAAGCCTGTATTAATTAACCTGCCTTTATGTTTCTTCTAGTGCCAAGGTCAGGTATTGAGAGCTGCTGTTAACACTGGCTGCCAGCAAAACCTCATTTCCATGAGCTGTCTGAAACGGCTGGGGTAAGAGCCTGGTGCAGAAGAGATGGGGAGTGGCATAGAAAACAAGGAATTGGGCATTAAAACCTGTACTCACTCTGAATCTGAAATTACCACTTGCAGTTCATACCCCAACTCCCATTCACATCGGGAACCCCTGCATTCACACCCAACTGCTTAGAGTGTGGGGAGCCCAGGACTGGAATAGCAAGGGGGCTGCAGGGCAGGACTTAGGGGCATTGGCAGAGGGGTAACAATTTGGCTGTGGATACTGCATATCCCAAGATGACCAGCTGATGCTTTGCACCTGCTCAGTGGAACCCAGCCCCATAGTGCCTGTGGGTTACCCCTGGAGAATCTGGCTTCTGACATCCCCATTATACGAGTGAGATCCCCTCTCTTGCAGGCCAGTTCCAAAGAGACTGTGAAGTGCCCGTGACTAGTTGGAGCTCCTATTGTTCTTCCCCTCATGCTCATTTCAGGCAGTAACATCCCTTGTGTCTCACAGGCTGGAGGAAGTGTCCGATGCTGGCAATGGGAATCTCTCCCTTCCTGTCCCTAGTGTCGTTGGCCAGGTGGAGTGTGTGGAGGTGCAGCTTGGCCAGGAGAGAGTGGCGTGCTCAGCGCTGGTCGTGGGTGAGCACAGCAGAGCTTCCTCCCCCTTTCCAGATCTCTTCTTCCTTCCTTCCTTGCTGAGCACACCTAAATGGATCATCTAGGAGCAGGGGTTGGGGGGAAGGTCACATGACCCACGGGGCTGGGCCAAGGCACAGTCCCGTGTACAATGCAGAGACTTTGATTTTGCTGTATCCCCCTCCACAAGGAGGCTCTGGCAAATGGGGGCACTGGCTGAAGGGCAGTGGAGATGATGTCCTGTCAGGCCGCAGCCCCATCGTGGGCCATTTCGCTTTGTCTCCTAAAAGTGCCCAGATTGATTAGTTTGTCCTGCTCCGTGTACAATTCCCAGGGGGCAGGAGGGACTGAAAGAGAGCATGTGTGTTACTGCCCCCAACTGGATGGAATGAGTCTGGCCAGCTGAAACCTGGAGATCCATTCCTTCTAGGGACCATGGATGTCTCTGTATCATTGTCCCCGGCTGCAGAAATGTATTGTAGAGGAGTCTGGGAGCCCCCGCCAGTGTCCAGAGGCAGGATCTTGTTGGGAGGAGCTGTAGGGAATGAAGCCCATTTAATAGGCATTGGAGGGGGTGGAAGGGAGGCTGCATTTTTTCCAGGTATGTGAACCTCTGCATACAACAAAAATAACAGATTGATTCTTCTTTCCATCCCTTCTCCCCCATTTTATTTGTCTTCTCATCCATCCCTGATTTCTCCCGTTGCCTCTCTCTGTCCTCTTCTCCTCAGCCCGCTGATTTACTCCCAGTCCCCTTCCTGTTCATGCTCCTCTGTTGTCTCTTGCTCACCTCACTATACCCCTGCCACACCCATTCTTCCCTCTTTTCTGGTTTCTCTCCCTCTCCTGACCCCAGCTCACTTTATTCTCGTCCCCTTCTCCTCTCTAGTTCTCCTCACCCTTGGTTCTGTCTCCTCTCCGTGTGAGAGAGTCGGACTGCTCCTCTGGCCTCTCTGATGGCTGGTTGTCTGTAGGAGCACAGGCAGTTAGAGTAGCACTTAACCCCTGCAGGCTGCAGCTGTGGAAAGGACAGCGTTTAGGCATCTGGGAAGATGGAGTGGCCACACTCTGCTGTGCCTAGCATGCTGACCCCATACGTGCCAGAGTTTCGATAACTTATAGCAAGTTCCAGCCATGGGTACAAGGCAGTCACTCAAGTGCTGCATAAGGGAGACAGTCAGAAAACACCTGTGCCTGAGCCTGACCCACTTCCTCTCTGTTTCCCCAGATGATGACATGGTGGAGTTCTGTCTCGGCCTCCAGACTCTGCTGTCTCTCAAGGTAAGGAATGGGTTCCCTCTCCTTGCATCTGAACGTAATGTAGGTGTGGTGGGACGTCTCGACAAGACTCCAAGCTGGGGCTGCAGGAAGCATGCGATGCTGATGGCCAAACCCGCCTCCTGATCTCTGACTACAGCACGGTCTTAGCTGGTATGAGTCTCATGAGAATTGAACCCCTTTCCAGTCATTTGGAAACCTTATTGGATGAGGCAGTGGCTAGAGGCCTGTGCAGCCCCATAGGGAGACCTACAGTATTTCCCACTCCTGATGTGTCTTTCCAGGGAGCAGGGGAAACACGCTGCTAGCGGAAATGGGGAGAAGAGATTTCATCTCTCAGAAGTAACCCCTTCCTCAGAGTGTCTTTGCTGGATCTTGAAGAGCCCCTCCAGTCTCCATCATCCAGGAGGATGGGCCTGTCCATGCATGGAGTGCATAGACTTGGAATTGTTCTGTGGAGGGGGGCTCAGCTGGGAAATCTCTCTCAGGGGTTTTTTCTCCCCCCAGAGTAGGGACCAGAACCCAGGAACAAAGAGCATCTAGGCCGGCCGTTCCCTTCCGGTGGGTGCTGATCACTAAATGACCCAGAAACACAGCCTGCAATTTAGATCCTGGCACAGCTTGAAGCGAAAGCCCCCTGTCTCGCTTTGCCGGCGAGCTCTCTTCAGCAAGGAACCATTAAACACCTACATACACAGCCCCCCTTACTGAAAACATCAGAGAAATGCTCCGGAGGAGAAGGAATGCTTTCTGGGGCTGGGAGACCCCCTGTCCTGCAGGCAGAACAGGGAGAACTACCGAAGGAGAGGCCAGGGTGGGGGCAAGCAGAAAGAAACCCAAATAATAACCATGCTAAGAAGGCCTGCGAAGGCCTTGTAAATTGGCAAGGAGGAGGCAGCAAAGATGGAGGAGGCAGGTAAATGGGGGTGACCATTCCATTGGGGGGAAAAGATGGGGCTGGGAAGAGGCAGGAATGGGAGCGTAGAAAGGTGAGTGGGAAAATGGAGGAAGGAAGCAGGGAGCAATGAGGGAAGGGAAAGCAATGGGGAAGGGCACTGAGTGTCACTCAATGAGTGGGCTGGTGTTAGGCTGAGAGCTGAATCACTCCATGAACTGGAGGGAGGGGAAGAGACAGAACCAGGTGCACAGGGTGGGTAGGTGGAGGTAAAACAGTTAGTGTACCCTGGTGGCCATGTGGAGGGATGGGAGAGGAACCCAGTGGCAGAGCAGAGGGAAATGAAGGCAGGGGGCTGGGAGCGGAGGGTGATTTGGAAGCTAGACGGCCAGGTTGGAGTTGGATTCAAAACCAATGGAAGGTGATGGAGGAGGGCATGATGCCCTTGGCCACCCTAAGAAGGGCCATGTATACAATGTGCGAATAAGGCGGCTGTGCTGAACAAGGTGAGAGACAACCACCTGAGCAGGGCCTTGCTGGGGAGTGGGAGGGAGCGACAGCGAGGGATGGGAAGGAACAATGGAGGTATATTCAGAAGAAGAGGTGCAGATGTGTTAGGGGGATGGAAGGAAGAGAAGGCCGAGGGTAGGGAGCTTCTTTAGGAAGAGCAGCTGTAAATTTGATGGGAGGGTGCTGTCCAAAATCTGGCTTGGCGAGAGGGAGGGAAGAGGGGGGTGCTGATTACTAGATGCGCTCCAGCTTCTCCATGGTAATAGACGCCATGCAGCCCACGTACCCTGCTGATACCTTGTGACTGATACGTACTATGGGTAACCTGCTCTTGTCTGCCCCCATTAGTGCTGCATTGACTTGGAGGAAGGAGTCCTGAGGCTGAAAGCCCTGAGTGAAGAGCTGCCTTTCTTACATGCCTCTGATGAGCATGGGCAGTGATGGGCCGGCTCCCCACATCCACAGGGAGGAGACTCTGTGGCTTACCAGGGAAACCAGCAGCTGGGGCTGACACACCTGGACCTTGCTGAGTCCTGCGCTGAGGCGTCCATGGGGGAGTGAGGGGTAAACAGGAGCCAGGTGCTGTCCCGCTGTTGTTGATGCAAGCTGGCCTCTTGTATGGAGAGTTCTTCCTCCCTGCAATGGACCCTCCTGCTTGTCCCCATGTGCTGAGTGGATATTTGTTCTCATTTCTCTCTGTGTCCCCATTCTCTCGCTGGTTTCTGCTTCTGCCCTTTTAGTGACTTCTTTTTACACTGCCATGTATTGATAACATAGGTAGTGTCACTGCGAGCAGTCTCCAGGGGTTCCACCTGCAGAGAGATGATGGCTTCTTCTAAAGCCTCTGAAGATTGTTTTAAAAGTTTCCCTTCCCTTTTGGCCACAGATCTCCCTGGATAGGAGGGGCCTCTCAATCCCCTGCTGAATGGGAAGGGCCCTGTGGCCAATCCTCCCTGTCCTCTGAAGAGCTGGATTTCATTACCCTGCACTGGCTCCGAGCAGATTGGAAGGATTTTACTGGAAGCAGCTTAAATTGCAGTCACTGCATTTTGAGAGTTTTCATTCAAAGCAGGAAGACTTCTAGGAAATGCTGAGCTGAAACACTTTGGCAGCGTTTGAGCATACATAGGCGCCAGGCCTGGCCAGGCCAGCCTTAGCTACTAGACTCCGTATTGTATGAGCTCAAGTGCTAGTTTCTCCCCGTTAACTGTAGTAACTGGGCTGACATCCCACCAGCCGTGAGCTCCAGTCACCAGATTTACACACCCATCAACTCTGCTTCTTCACTCTGAGCTCCAGGGATTCAACTTAGATACCACATGAACTCCAGGCCTACACCTGCCATCGACTCTCCTCCTCCAGCCTGGACCCTGGCGATTTGACACAGAGACACCATCAACTTCAACCACTGGACTTCCATACCCCATTGACTCTACATCTCCTGCATGAAAGCAAAGAACCTGACCCATTCCCAGTATCAGCTCAGGTCACAGAGTTACGAACTCATCTGGGATGGACAGGACCTTTGGTGGGTCACTTAGTCATTTCTTCTCCATACATGTGGGCCTGATTTCATTACCCTAAAAGCATCGCTGATAGATGACTATGTAGTCTCAAGAGACAGACACACCGCCACCATTCTGGGCAGCTCACACCTTTCCCAAATGGATGTATTGGTTAATTTTTGTTTCTAATCTTTAACTAAAATTTTCTGTTCTACAATTTGTGCCCAGTTACATCTTGCCTCCTCAGCGACTAATGAGAATAATTGATGCCAGCCCTCTTCATAACATCCCTTCATCCACTTGTAGATGGTTCTGACGTCCCCTCTCTGCCATCTTTTCCCTGGACCTAATTGGGTCTCTTTGTGGGTCTCACTTGTCAAACATTTTATTATTTCTCCTGTGCTCATTTGAGCGCTCCAATTTATTTATCTGTCCTTTTTTTGGTAAAAGGGTTGCCCTAAACTGGATGCAGGACTCTGAGGCTTAACCAGTGCTAAGAAGAGTGGAATAATTACCCTGCTAATTTTACATATAATACTCCTGTCAATGCGACTCAGAATGGCTTGTGCTCCTCTTAATGGCAGTGTTGTACTGTTGACTCTTATTCAGTTCATCACCCATTATATCCTTCTCTCTTTTCCTGTGGCATGGCTGCCTAGTTCATTGTTTTACAATTGTGCATCTGATGATTCCTTCCTATGTGAAGCACTTTACATGTCTTTCTTGAGTAATACCAATGATTTAAAGGCCTTGTCTCATATGTGTCATGATTGTCCTGTATTATGATCCTATCCCTCTGCAGTCCCTCCTGGATCTGTATTGTTTGTGCATCTGAATCTTTAATGACAATACTGACTGGTATTGGAACCTCCTTCAAATTTGACATTGACTCTTGAATGAATACAATTTGTTAAATGTGTTATTCATTATTAAATCCCATTCTGTAACAACTCCTCTAGTCCACAACTCTCGAGTTTCACTCAGAGGATGGCTTGTGGAAATGTATCAAATAAGTTGTTGAAATCAATAGCTATTATGTCCACTGCATTTCCTTTATCCATTAAGTTTATTTCATGAAACTAACAAAACCTAAGAGCTCTCTCTAGCTCAGACTGAAGTCAATGGGAAGCTTTGCACTGATTTTAATGGCAGTAGGATTGGGTCCCATGGTAAATTGGCATGATTTTTCTTTGACAAATTTACTTTGCCTATTATTTATTACTTATTTTTGTGGAGGTGTTCAGTAGTTGGATGCTCTGTTAGCTGTTTGAGCAATATGCCAAGTATTGCAGATAAATTTACTCATCTGTAAGTCCTGGGAATCCCCCTCCTTTGCTCTCCTTCAAAGCATCCTTTGCTCCTTCTCTGCCCTTCCACTGGCTTCACATTTCTTCAGTTCTGATACTTCTGCTAATTCCGATTGCTCGGTGGGGTGAATTTCACCAGGCCCTATGGCTGTGAATACATTTAGGTTATCTTGCTATTCTGTAATCCCTTCCTTTCCATAATGAACCATTTCAACTGCTGCCTTTGGCTTGTTTGTTCTTCCCCACATCGGTAAGCAGCAGACCTGCCCTTTTCTGCCATCTTCTTGCTTCCCACATAAATATTATAATGATGGTTTCTTGTTTCCTTTGCTAGTATTCCCTGATTTTGTGCCTTTGCCTTTCTGGCCTCTCCTCTCCTCCTCCCTTAGTAATCATACATGTTCACGTGCTTGCATGCGGTCTCCATGCCAATTGTGTTGAGGGTGTTTCTGCTTGATTCCTACATCAGTGTGTGGGGGACTCTAATCCCCAATTTGTAATCAGCATCATGGCAGCAGACATGCTCTTCCACTCTCCTCCCTACTGTGTCAGGTAAATGTCTGGTATTTCCTCTAGGTCACTCAGTACTGTGCCCTCTGGCATTTACCTTCTCCCTGAACACTGTGGACCTTTCTGTAGATAACTACTGCAGCATTTCCCCCCAGCACAGTCTAAATTGCCAAACCCTGACCCAGCCCCAACTCAGAAAGGGCAGCAGCAATACAAGCAGCGAGAGCTGCAGGCCTGAATACAATGGGTTGGGATCCCTTCTGCCCCTTCCTTTGCTCCCCCACTTCATTGGGAACTGAATCATGGTGTGACCCGAGCTCTCAATGCCTCCTTTCCTTTGCATCAGAAATGGAACCTCTGCCCTTCTCCCCTGCTGGACTCCGCCCTCCCATGACAGCATCAAACGAGGCAGCGTTGCCAACTTTCACCATTTCACCATAAGGTTTGGTGTTCTTCTTCAAGCCCCAGCTCCTGGAATCATTTGATTACATGAGAACCTCAGCTTGATTTTTTTTTTAAAAAAGTCAGTTTCATGGTGCAGTAACTCAAAAACTAAAGTTTCAAAAACCAGGTGACAAATAAAAAGAAGCCCAAAGAGATTCCTGTTCAAATCTCATGCGTTTCAAGCCAATCCCATGATTTTCCGGGGCCTGACGTATGATGTTGGAGCGCTTAGGGTTGGCAACGCTGATGATGGTTTAATACTAGTTTAACTCTGGAAAAGGCTCACGTGCATTCACAAATGTTTTTTTCTCCTCAAGCCATTGCCAGTGCTTAGTCATCCCTGTTTTCCTGAAAGGCACCAAAGACTAAAGGCCTCTTCCACTGGACAGGAAAACCAATCAAGAATTAATATTTGAAGCAGGATTTTACTATGAACTATAAATACATTAAGGGGGTCACTACTAGGGAGGGTGAAGCGCTAAGCTAAAGGACAATGCTAGCACAAGAACAAATGGCTATAAACTGGCCATGAACAAATTCAGGCTGGAAATGAGAAGAAGGTTTCTACCCATCAGAGGGGTGAGGTTCTGGAACAGCCTCCCAATTGGACTTGTGTGGGGGTGGGGGGGACAAATGCATTAGTTTCAAGAGAGAGCAAGATGAATTTATGAGTGCAATTGTATGGTGGGGGTGCTTGTTTTGGGGCGGTGGGCACAGCTAAGCAGCCCCACAGCTCACTTCTGGTTTATGTCCTGTGTTCCTAAAGCGCATGCTTCAGGGCTTCAGCCAATCACCTAAAGGGGTCAGGAAGCAATCTTTTCCCCCCAGTGTATTCTGGGAGGTTTTTTTATCTCTTTCCTCTGAAACATGAGGGATGGCCACGGCTGGAGATGGGACCCTTGGCAGGGTGGGCCAGGGGCTCTGAAGTGGCACCGAGCATTCTCTCTCTCAGGGGCTTGGCTGGCTGGGTCTTGCTCACATGCTCAGGGTCTAACCGATCCCCCCAGGTCAGATTGGCAGGTAGTTTATGGGACAGGGGGATTTGCCTTCCTCTGCAATGTGTGGGTGCAGGTTGCTTGCCAAGATTATCTGGGTATATCTCACTTACTCATTTCCCTGCCATTGCAGGAGGCTTAGGCACTGGTGCACTTGGTCCCTTCTTTTCTCTGCCTCTGGCACATTATAGTCTAGTCTCCTGTGGGCTGTAATATTTTGGTCTCATTTCAGTTGGTGGGTTTAGTGTGTGGGTGCTGGTGGTCTGTGAGGTACAGCAAGTCAGACTAGACTTGGGGGGCAGTCAATTATTTTTTGTCAAGGTCCAAATTTCTTGGTCAAAATATAGTCAAGATCCAGAGAAAATAATAATAATAAATAATAATAAAAAGATTTTGCGGTCTGTTCAAAAGCACCTGGCAGTCTGGATTTGGCCCACGGTCCACTTATTGACTAGGTGATCTAGTGGTCTCTTCTGGCCTTAAACTCTATGATTACCTGACCAGAGCATTGGCCATCTAGTGTGGTCTCCTGCCTCCAACACGGGCTCCGAAATAATGCTTCAGAATAAGGCACGACATCCCCCTACTGCACACAATTGTGCACTATTATACCACCGGGGGAGCGTCTTTCCTGACCTCCATTAGTGATCAGATCATGTCCTGAAGTACGGGGGCTAAACGGAGCCAAGTCAGTGTCACTGCAGATGCGACTCTTATACACAGAAATGTATCATTCTGAACGGGAGCCAAAATCTGTTCCTAGAAAGTGCTTTCATGCACCCAGCCTAAACGCTGCTCATCACGGTCCTGGGTTGTGCCCCACAGGGCTCTGAAAGTATTGAAAATCAAGCCAGCCACCGATCCCAGCCAGCACTCAGAAGGCTACAGCATCTCTAAATGCCAGACATTTGGTTACGCACACGCGTACCACGGGGGTGCTGTTTAACCCCCCGTTGCTCAAGGAGCTAGTGGGCTCTCAGTTGCTGGCACAGACTTGCAGCCTCGATGGTGTTCAGCTGGGAAGCATCTAGAAGTATTAAAGGTCATTTGGGCTCTGAAAATTGTTAAAAGCAGCGTCATGGGCATCCATGTTTATCATCTCTCAGGAACAAAATATCTTTTTGTTTGTAAACCGAGCACCATGAACTGGGGTCGGTAAGGTCCAGATCCTAACTTCTGTTGATTTCAGTGTAAGTTAGGAGCCTATGTTCCTTCAGGGATCTGGGCCAGCCCTGCAAACTGCCCTGGGATCTAAGTCAAGCTCGGCTCGTTCTTTCTCCTCTGTCATCACCTGTGATAAAGATTCTGCCCTCGGTGACACAGTGGAGTCCGAGTGCCACCAGGGGATTTGCACAGATGTCACTGATCATAACTTAGCAAGGCAGGAACAGAATCCCACTCCCGCTCTCAGCTATGTTCGCTCTGCAGGGCGAACAGGGGCCAAAAAGTGGTCCGAGCAGCAACCATGACTTGAATGTACCCTGGGAAGAAGGGGCCATGGTCAGTCACTTTTCATCGTAGAGCCCCACTTTAGTGGAAGTTATGGCAGTTAGACTCACGTGGGGCTGCCACCATCAATTGCTGGGTTGGGACATGAAGAGAGGGAGAAGGCGTCTCTTGGCACAAAGGCAATATAAGACTGCCCTGGTTCTCTCAGCAGGAGACAATGCTCCTGTTTTGTACAAGGGGTTCTTATCCTTGCCTATCCTCTTGTGCCTTAATGGGAACAGGGGAAAGAAGGGAGTAAACAGGAGCGTCCACGGGCTTTGAGTGCCAGGAACAATCTAGAGTTGGTTGAAAAAATGGAAAAACAATTTCACCCTCCAAAATTTTTTGATATTTTTGTTCTTCAGTTTTTAAGTTCTTCCTTCCCCCTGCATATCTCTTTCTCCCCCCTTTTTTTTTTGGGGGGGGGGATTGATTTTTGAAAATGACTGAAAAGACAAGGAGAGAGGGTAAAAGGGAAAAAATGATAAAAACATCAAAAGAAATGGAAAACAGATAGATAAACTGTGAAATGGACAATTTTGCATGAAAATTTTAGATTGGGACCATTTTTGGATGAAAACTCTTTTTGCTTAAGAAGTAGACCACCAGCTTTACAGCACTGTGTTTGTAAATGAGGCCCCCCTGTCTTTTGGACAATGCAGTCCTCCGCAGCAGGTGCTCAAGTGCTTGTACCCATGTGACCTCTCTACCAAGCTCATCAGTGGGAGAGGGGGGGTCCCAGGTCAGAGCGTCATGCTGAATGGCTCGCACTTGCCCATCACGGTATTCATTTGGGTACATGTTGCCCAGTCTGGTTGGAAGCAGGTCCCCATCAAAGGGTCATCTCTCTGCATGAGCCCCTCCATGCCTTACTCAGTTTCCTGTCCCACAGCAGCTACACTTGGCTCTCTTCCTTGGCAACAGTTTGACCTGTGTGGCAGTGGCTGTGTTTTGTATGAACATGCTGCATCCATGGTATCAATGCAGTCATTTGTGCTCCCTTGTCTCCTCTGTTGATAATAAAGATTTCTGCTTCAAGCGGGCAGCCAGAACCAAGTCATTCTCCGTTGTTATTGACCCGGCTCTGCAAACAGCTGCTCTGCAGGCAGGTGGCTGGGAATGCTTTACAATAGCCCGCTGACCGCCCTACCACAGCCTGGGCTCAGAGCAGTTGGAAGCTCTGCCAGCCTGACCCTGGCGTTGGCAAATGGAGTGTTCCTGGTAGCCAGCTGTGGGAACCCTTTGGTGACTGGGGCCCCATCAGGAGAATGAGATGTAATCAGAGCTGGGACATGTTTCTGCTAGCAACTCCTGCCCACCAAAGTGGGATATGCAGGGACCAGAGCTTGATAAGCGGCACCAAGCTGTGGCCATGCAGAAACAGGGCTATATCTGTGTAGAACAGTCTTTTCATGACTGCTCTATGTTGGGGGGTGTGTGTGAGAAAGCACCCACACAAGAAGCGTTACATGAGCACAAGAGCAGGGCCATCCCTAGACATTGTGGTGCCCTATACAGCCCCCTGCGGCGGGGCTAGCCCCAGGCCTCTGGTGGGGGGTGGGGGTGGGGGGCAGGCTGTGCTCAAGATCTGTGGGGGACAGGAGCAGGCTTGGGGGGCAGGGGGAAAACCACCCCTCAGCACGAGCCAGTGGAGAGGGTTGGGTCTGGGTTGCTCCACTTCCTGCTGCCTGGTGATTGCAGGGCACGCCCGACCCCACACTCACGGGGCGGTGGGAAGTGGAGTGATCCGGCCCCAGCCCGCCCTGCTCCCCTGGCTCCCAGCCTTGGGGGGCAGGGGGGAACCGCCCCCCAGCACTCACCAGTGGCGCTGCTGGGAGCCAGCAGAGTGGAGCAGTCTGGGGCCGGGACACTCCACTTCCCGCTGCCCGTTGAGTGCAAGGTGCTCCCAACCCCTGCTGCAGTCCCCTGGGGCATAGCTCAGGGGAAGGGGTGGAGTGGGGGTGGGGTGGAGCAGGGGCAGGAAGAGGCGGGGCAAGGGCAGGGGCTATGGGGAAGGGGTGGAGTGGACAAGGGGGCGGGAGCAGCTTTCCTGTCCAGCTCAGCTGGCTGGGGGATCGGGCTGGCTGCTGGAGCAGCACGCAGCTGCATAGGGCACGAGGAAATCTGGCACAATTTGGTGCCCCAAATTTCCTGGTGCCCTACACAGCTGCGTAGTTTGCATATGGGTAAGGATGCCCCTGCAAAAGAGCATGTGTGGAACTGGAAGTATGTATATTTCTGTGTGTAATTGCATGCCAAATGCAGGGAGGGGGCTCATTTCTGTCACAAGCGGCTATGTGCCCACATCACAAAATCATCAGAGTCCTGTAGGATTGGCCTTCCATACTCTGGAGTAACATAGCAGGGGGTGCCACAAGTCAGGAAAGAGGTGCATTGGCAGAGATGCACTGAGGAAGCCTATGTAGAAAATCTGCTTAGCAGAGCCCAGCTCCATTGGAGTCTCTCTCAATGCCACTTTCACTGGTTTGAAAATACAACAAATTGAAACCATACAGGCACAGCTAGGGAGAAAATATCTGACACATGCAGCAGAACCTTCCTCCCCCTCTGTAACAGCATAGGCTCCTTCAGAGCTCCTCTGGGTGCTTGTGGGGAATGTAGCTATTTTTGCCACTTTATTCCACTCCAGGGACTTGGGTGAACGTTCCCTGGGATCAGACTAGGGTTGCCAATCCTCCCGGTTTCAGCAGGAGTCTCCCGGAATCACGCCCTATCTCCCAGAGGCTACTGAAGCCAAACCGGGACATTTTAGGGGCTGAAAGTCCAGTGGCGCAGCGGGGCTAAAGCAGACTCCCTGCCTGCCCTGCGAGTGGCACGGGGCCAGGGCAGGCAGGGAACCTGCCTTAACCCCACTGCGCCACCGACCAGGAGCTGCCAGAGGTAAGCGCCTCCTGGGTGGAGCCTGCACCTCACACCCCTCCTGCACCCCAGCCCTCTACCGCAGCCCAGAGCCCCCTCCTGCACCCAAACTCCCTCCCAGAGCCTGCTTCCCTGCACCCCCCATCTGCACTCCAACCCCCTACCCCAGGCTCAGCCCAGAGCCCCTCCCACACGCTGAACCCCTCCCCCCCACCCCAGCCCGGCGAAAGTGAGTGAGAATGGGGGAGAGTGAGCAATGGAGGGAGGGCGGATGGAGTGAGCAGGATAGCGCCTCGAAAGGGCAGGGCAGGGGCAGAGCCTTGGGGAAGGGGCAGGGCAAGCGTGTTTGGGTTTGTGTGATTAGACAGTTGGCAACCCTAGATCAGACCAACATCTGTGGCAGGAGCTTTCTCCACCACTTTTACAGAGATGAAATTATACTACTGTTCAATGCTCAGCCTCAGAAGCCATGCTGGGAGTGCCGAGTTTTGGCTGTGCTGGAAATAATGATCATTGAGTCTTCTGCAAGGCCTGACTGTGCTGGGGCTGGAGACCATAACAGGCTTGGAACCTGGAGGTAGCATGAGGGTGCTAAACTATGGCATGTTTTATAACCTTGTGGGGTCTCATATCCGCTAGAAACTGACAGAAAGTTAAAAACACAGCCCTGAGGAGTGGTTCCCACTACGTCATCACCAGCTGGCATGGTGTGAAACATGGCCGGTCCCTGTTTACAGCACCTGCAAAGTCCTGCTCAGTATTGTGTTCTAGGGCATGTTCTAGTGAAGACATACCCTTGGATAACAATCCCCAAGGCTTCATCCCCTTACCAGATGCTTCCCATAGACCAGTTGATTCTTCCCAACAGATGATTCTAAGCCCTACAGCCCTGGTTTCAGTTTGTGCCGCAAAACCCCAAACCTTCCCTGCCTATAGACTGCAACATTTTCAAAAATCAATGGGACTTGAGTTCTTAAGTCACGTAGGCCCAGACCCTTACAAGGTATTCAGGGACATAACCCCCACTGATTTCTGGGCCTTAAGCACTTTTGAAAATTATACCCATAATGCTGTCCCCTGTACTGGTTACATGGGGGAGAGAAAACCCTTTTTCTCTGTAGCCATGTAGCAGAGTCTGGTGGAGAAGGCACAAGATTTGGGAATTAGGAAAACTTACTTCTGTTCCCAGTTCTGTCACCGACTCCTTGGTGTGGCCCGGGGCAGGAGACTTTACCCCTATGTGCCTCAATTTCCATATCTGAGAAATGAGGAGAACCTTCCTTTCTAAAACACTTTGAGATCTATGGACAGAACGTACTCATAGGAGCTAAGGTTTACTGTCTAATAATCAGATGCTCCACACCGCACCCCCACCCAAGTCTGTCTGTTCCAACCCTAGGCTTCTACCCCAGCAGGCAGGCACTTCCATTCTCCTGAAATGAGTGGGGAATTCAGTCTCCCTGCTGAGGTACTCAAGGGTGTTCTTCACAACATGGCACAGCAGGAACCCAACAGCTTGTGGGATCCTTACATGTTATCATTTCCTAAGGGCTATCATTGAATTAATTATATTTGCTCTGAGTCAGATCCAAATCTCTCTGTGGTGGGGCGTGGGAGGAAAGCTCCATCCATTATGCGTGTTAAATAAAACATTGCATGGATGAGAGAGGATAATGGATGCAGAGCAGCAGGTTTGCCTGCTGGTCTCGTCTTAATGAGTTGAGACTGGCGCAGGACTGAAGGAGGCAAAGCAGTCAGAGATGTACAAGGGCCGGAGAGAGCAGAGCAGCGCCACCTTTCCCCCTGTGCTGTGCTGGACCTGGAGTGGCATGCCCCCAAGCTTTGCCGTGGCAGAAAGTGGAGTGCCTGCTCCTCCTAGCTATTACACATGTGCAGGGCTGGAAAGCAAAACGATGCTCTTTCTAGCTGTCCCAGGGGGCCAGCGGTGGAAGGCTGAGTAGTACTATTGCAGCTGCTAAAGATGTGCAAGGCGCAGTGGCTGGTTGCAAGGCTGGTCATCCTCAGAGAACAAAGAATGGATTTGATTTATTGTCCAGTTCTTGACTGCTCTGTATAAACAAACAGTCATCCCAGGGATGAGCTTGGCCCACAGTCTTTATGTGACCAACCAGAATGAGGGTTCAACTTTCTCCTGATTGCATTCCTAGCAGTTTGGGTTCCTTTTGCCAGCACTGTTGCTGGAGCTGCCTAGTTTTCCTCAGGCATCAGCCACACACCTCCCTGTTATTAGTACCACGGGAAACAAATCAGCTGTGCGTGTGAATGGAAGCTGCTGCTGTGAGAGGAGGCCTAGGATCAAGGGGAGTGTCAGAACTGAAGCAGGGGTAATGCTGCAGGTCTATTTAGTGATTCAGGCATATGGACATGTGATAAAAAATCCAGAACAATCAAAAAGCCCTCTCTACCCCCAGCGAATCCCCCATTCATAAGCTGCTAGGAACTCAGGGGATCAGCTCCACAGGGACTGCACAAATAATGTACCAAGACTAGACTCAAGTTTGCTGCTCTCTGTTTTCCCTTCACAAGCACAACTCTTTGACCAGCAGAGAACATGGCTGCTGAGAGTTTAATTCTAATGGTGGCACCCCAGAGAACAGAAGGAACTGGACCCTCATTGCTTCAACTAAAGGGGCAACGAACTCACCACCCCTCAATGATAAAACCAGCATCCGAGCGCTCACCTTACCTCAGCCCTAACCTGAAGGCTAATTCTAACACAGTGGCTTGTCTGCTGCTGCTAGCTTGCTGGAAGCCTAGACTGACAAGGAGGGAAGGATCTCATTGATTCCCGGATACAGACTGAGCTTGGTGCAACATGAATGACTGACTGTAGCCAACACCTAAAGAAGGGTCACTACTGTGAGAAGAGGTGCTATTACGTACACAAGTCTTGGGCACTGGTAGGGTGACTGGAGGAGTCTGCTCCAGCAGGGCCCCGATGTTGGCAAGGGCTGTTCTGTGGCTGCTTTTCTGGGAAGTACAGGGTCTTGTGAATCAGATCTTTGACAGCCGAGACATCATCTCCCTCTGTGAGTGAGGCAGAGAAAGAGCAGTATTACCACCAGTGAGAAGCGTTTTAGCCCCAGTAAGGTACTTAGGAGCCCCAGCTATTACCACCACGTACAGATCCTCCCATTATCCCATCATCCCATCCCCCTTCTCGCTGCACGTCTGTAGACTGTGCAATGCTCACCCACGCCCAGCTGCTGCAGAAGGTCCCTGTATTCTGGGTTGGTCTCTAGTATCTTCAGCAGGTTGGTGGATTCCATTCTCTCCAGCTGCACATCCCAGTAGATGTAGATCTTCTGGTTGAAACTGACGTAAACCAGGCAGGGGCTGTTGTGGCCTCCTTTGCATGCATAGAGGCCTGGGAAAAGCCAGGGAGGGAGCCACCAGCAGTTAGTGAAGAGCAGAGGAAATGAAGAGGTAACTTGGGCAGACAAGTAAGGGGGAGGCCATGGGAGATCAGAAGGCACAGGATGGGGTAAGGCAAACACAATGGAGTAGCCTAACTCTCTCCTCTGTGCCCAACTGTGCTACTGATCTAAGATGGGGTAGAAAGTCTCTGGCTACCAGCTAGTGCAGTGGTGAGCTGCACTGCACTGAGAGACATGGACTCTGGTGTGCAGAATTTCCCTGATGGACCCTTAGTCACATGGTGGCAGGAGGAGGCTGGCTGTGCAGCAAGTGCCTGAGCAATTCAGCTGTGGGCAGATGTGCCTTTTGGGGGAGAACAGAGAAAACCAATGAAAAAACCCTGATGGGACAGGGCCTCACCAGCAGACTGCAGGGGCACAGCACCCATGGGGGGTCAGCAAGAGGTAAAAGTGGCACAGGGCGGCAGGAAACCTGTGCTTCTTCAGGGATGGGTCTCCTAGCATCCCTCCCTCTCACCAGGCCTCTTCCCCGGAGCAATATGAAGAAGAGATCAGCTGGGCTCCCCACACAGTCACCCACCCAGCAGGGCAGGATACAGAATCAAGGGGCTTCTGCCTCTCCCAGCGCAGCAGTGACATAGTTCATGGAGCGCAGTCAGCAGCTCAGGTCACAGCCAGGCCTGCGCGTCTCAGATGCAGGCGCCAGGCAGGCCACTCACCGGCACAGAACGCGCTAACATTCTCGTCCACTTGGAATCTGGCCACAGTCCGATTGTGGTCGATGATGTACGTCTGGCCATCCCAGGCGCAGGCAACCACCTCCTCGTGCCCGTTGCCCTGCCGGAGTCGGACAGGTAGGGGGAGTGGGGAGAGCTTTGATTAGCACAAGCGTCAGCCGTCTAGAGAGATACACAGGAATCCCAGCAACCCACAGCAAGCAGCATCCATTCCTCCCCTCTGATATAACCTGTGTTTAATGCAGCATCCCAGCACACAGCTGGATAGCCTCCTGATAAGGGATACCGATAATCTGTTCTTAGGGAAAAGGCATCTGGGCTCTCCTTGCGCCAGTGGCCTCCCTAGGTTCAGTCTACCCTACAATATAAACTATAGATGGCACCAGTCACTTCCTCCCCCGTCCTGTGTGCCCTCAACCCCTCATTCTCCCCACCGCAATCCTTGACAAGCATCCTGACCCCCTACTAGTGACTGCTTCCTCCTCCTTCCCCCACAAGAGCTTCAAACACTTCCCAGCTGCCTTATTCGCCTACAAGCATCTCAGTCTGAACCTCCCGCTGTGGAGGAAGAGTCAGGCTTTTGAGGGTTTCCAAAGAACAGGAACATAGGAATTACTATACTGCATCAGACCCAAGATCCATCTAGCCCAGTGTCCCGACTCTAACAATAGCCAGCACCAGGTGCTGCAGGAGAAGGTGCAAGAATGCTGGAGGAAACCTGCCCCATACAGGTCTTATTCTGGTGTCTAACACTTTAAGCCCTGAGGCACAAGGTTTAATATTCCTTCCAAATGTGTGGCATCATTAATTATAACTCTGGATGCTCTTGAGAGCCACATAAATGTCCAATTGCTTTTGGAATTCTGTTAAGTTCTTGGCTTGAACAACTTCATGTGCCAGTGAGTTCCACCGTCTAATTACTCATGGTGTGAAAAAAGTGCTTCCTTTTCTCAGTTTGGAATTTCCCATATTTTAATTTAATAGAATGTCCCCCCTGTTGTGTTATGAGACAGACACAACAGATCTACGTTCTCTAGGCCATTCATTATTTTACATACTTTCAGCATGTCCCCTCTTATCTGCCAAGGTAACAATCTCAATCTTTTAAACCTGTCTTCACAGGAGAGTTTCCCCAGGCCCTTGATTGCTCTCATCACCTTTCTCTGAACCCCCTCTAGTTCTGCACCCTCCTCCTGGAGATGGGGTGAAAAGTATTGCACACAATATCCACAGCAGACTACACCACTGATTGATACACTGGCATTATAATATTATTCTCCATCCCATTCCTTATTCCGCCTAACAAGAAGGAGCAAAATCATTCAACTCAGAGAACAGGACAGGCAGCAAGGAAGGAAGAGGAAAGACTATACAGTGTAATACTGGGCCCTCTGGGTCAGAGCCCAGCTCCTTAGCTGAGTGACTACAGTGCATGTGGTACAGGCTCCATTTTCTTGGGCTTTCTATGTGAACATGGGACAATCCCAGGATGCCCTGCTCTCTCTTCTGTGCGGGAAGTGGCAAAGAGGCTTTTCAGTGTCTCCACCCCCAGTCACCCTCTCTCAGCTCTGGTCTTTGCTCTGTTCACATTTACACTCACGGTAACATCCAGTTTTTCCAGAGCAAAGAGCTGGTGATCGACCTGCACAGACCACAGCAGCTTATCCGCCCCCTCCATGAGCTTCAACGTTCCTGAAGGGGAGAAGGAGACGCTTAGACAACATCTAACCACATGAGAACATAAGAATGGTCATACTGGGTCAGATCAAAGGTCCATCCAGCCCAGTATCCTGTCTGCCGACAGTGGCCAATGCCAGGTGCCACAGATGGAGTGAACCTAACAGGTAATGATCAAGTGATCTCTCTCCTGCCATCCATCTTCACGCTCTGACAAACAGAGGCTAGGGACACCATTCTTTACCCATCCTGGCTAATAGCCATTAATGGACTTAACCTCCATGAATTTATCCAGTTCTCTTTTAAACCCTGTTACAGTTCTAGCCTCAAAACTTCCAAAGGGAAGGAGTTTCACAGGTTGACTTGCGCTGTGTGAAGAAGAATTTCCTTTTATGTGTTTTAAACCTGCTGCCCACTAATTTCATTTGGTGGCCCCTAGTTCTTATATTATGGGAACAAGTAAATAACTTTTCCTTATTCGCTTTCTCCACACCACTCATGATTTTATATGCCACTATCATATCCCCCCTTAGTCTCCTCTTTTCCAAGCTGAAAAGTCCTAGCCTCTTTAATCTCTCCTCATATGGGACTCATTCCAAACCCCTAATCATTTTAGTTGCCCTTTTCTGAACCTTTTCTAATGCCAATATATCTTTTTTGAGATGAGAAGACCACATCTGTACGCAGTATTCAAGATGTGGGCGTACCATGGATTTAGCGCCTTGGATCTGCAGGGAATGGGCGGGAGGGGGCTGTGCTGCCAGGGGTACTTTTCAGTATTTGAGTCAAACATGCTCTGACCCTGGGGAGGAGGACGTTTGAATATGCCCAGGCCACCTCAAGAATTACAGGCTTACTCTGTTTGTAGCTGAGCAGACTTCAGAGCAAAGCAAGGTGACGTGCCAACATCCCCTATCCCTATGATATGCAGCAGAGCCTAACCCTGTGAGAATATCACTGGGAACCGTAGTGTCCCCCAGCAACGTGCTGGGCCCCATCCAGAGGCTTCCATCTGCAAATTCCCAGGGACAGGCAGCCCTGTAGTGCAGGCTATGGTTGACACACAAAGTGCTGTCTCTCATCTCCGGAAACGATGATGACCCATTAGCTTGTCAGCAGTAGCTGGAGATTCAGAGGAAAAATGGCAGCAGCTCTGATAATTGGATTGAATTCTGAGACAGCTGGGAAATGGACTGAAATGCTTTCTCAGAATAAGATACAGACACACAATGAGCCCTAACATCTCAAATCAGACACTGCTTATGCCAGAGGTTCTCCAGCTGTGACCCATGGATCCCTGGGGATCTGAGGAGCTCTAGCTGGGGACTGCAGAGAGCTGGCTGATCACATGGAGCTGCCTCTCCTTTATGTTCCCAGCTGCCAAATTACATTAAGAGAAGCTAAAACACACTTGATACTTTCCTAACATTTCTCTCCCATGTCAGCAATTGCTGTAGCTGGCACAGGGATGTTGCTAGGAGATTGTGACTCACAGAGGAGGTGTGTCTGTGAGACAAAGCACGGAATAAACACTAATTAATTCTCACAACACCCTGTGGAGTCAGTAAGTATCATTAGCCCCACTTTACAGAGAGGGACACTGAGTCTGAGGGAGGTTAAGGGAGTTGCCCAAGGCCACACAAGTCAGTAGTAAAGCCAGGATTAGAACTCAGGACCATAGCATAGTCAGCACGTCTCTTCCATGACTGCTGGGCTCGGCCAGGATTTAGGGAGACCCTGCACAGTGACTTTAGCTCCCAGACTGGTGAACTGCCTAAAGAGCCAGTGAGAATCACAGGATCCTGTCTGTATCCAAAAGCTTCAATACAGAATCCCCTCCCTTTCTATTTATCACACCTGAATCCTGTCTCTTCTTTATCACAGGGGACATGACAAGGGAAACCTGGCTCCCAGGCCCATGCTCAGTCCACTACACACCACTGCCTCTGCCACGACTTCATTTACCTTGCTGCTTTTGGCAGCAACCCAACCACTGCAAAGAGTGTCAGGAACATGCCTCCCTGCTCTTTTCCAGAGGCTTTCAGAGACGGCATTATTTGTATGGCATTTCAGCTTAGTGCGCAAATGGACTTGGAAGTATGCCAATGTAGTAGAAGAGAGCCTAAAATATAAGCCCGTGTATGAGAGGCCTGGTATGAGGTCTGAGCTAAAGTAGCGGGCAAGCTTTGCTGATATAAAGCAAAGTTAGCAGAAGTCAGGCTGTCAGCAAATGACAGGCGCTGCCTGCTTGCAAGCTCACAGAACCTGGCCAGAACAGGGCGGCTATTGCAAAAACATTCCTAAATAGTGCTAGGCACAGAGTGCTCATGAAACGCAGTCCAAAAAAGTGGTACCAGAACATCCCAATATCAATGATGGTACAAAAACATTCCCCAAAAATAACAGGAACACATTGACCCCTCCTAAATATAAGGTCAGGATAACAGTGTAATAAATAGAAATGTATAAGGTGATGGTTGGTAACTGGCTACGTCAGAGGGTATCAACTAACTATGTTAAAGGGGCAATATGTAACTTGTTTATACGGATATATAAAATAGTGTCTCAAAAGGAGTGTCTTTGGCCAGCCTAGGGGGCAGTGGAAAGTCCCGCCACTGACTGAGCTGCGTCCATTGTCATGGGCATACGTGTTTTAGTATCCTCATAGAGTCTGCCAGGTGCTATTACTTTGCTTCGTCGACAATAAACCTGGCTGGGTGCCTTCGTACCTTAACGGATCTTGTGGTCATTGAGCAGTTCGCTTGAGATCTGCTGCGCCAGCTGTCTGTGCAGGGCTGGGACAGCACACAGGGAAAACACACACATGCAGCCAAACATCTAACAACATTGGTGATCCTGACCATTAAATTCTGTTAATGTTGGCGTCTCACACAGGGAGTGTTAGAGCAGTGGATTGGGAGTCAGGGGATATCTGGGTTCTTAGTCTCACCTCTCCTAAGAACCTGCTGTTTGATTTTAGGCAAGTCACCTGCCCTCTCCAGAGCGCAGTTTGTCTATTTGTGAAGTGGATTTAATACTTCCCTCCCTCGGCAGCTTTGCGTGGCTTCAGCAATTAATCTTTATAAGGTGCTTTGAAACCCATGGACGCAAGGTGCCCACTAGCGAAGTGCAGACGACTGCTAGGAATAATTCATTGAGAAAAAACATTTCCGTTTCCCTGTAGAGAACAAACCCCTGGAGCAAGGCCTTGATTCAGCAAGAAACTGGAGCACATGCCTAGCTTCAATGGGACTGCTCACGTGCTTAGAGTTGGTCTTTTGCTCACACACCTGGCTGAATCAGAGCTTGGCTCTTTGGTGATGCCTCTTCTCTCAGCTCCTGTGGGCACAAGAGCAAAGGCCTGTGCAGGGAGGGGTGGGGACCTTTAGCCCTCTCCCCATAACATACTCACATGAAAGCATGTATTTGAGATGAGGACAAGGAATAATGCCAGCGCAACAGCCTCGACGGCCAAATCCTCCTGCATGTCTCGAAGGCAGTGCTACTCAGACCTCAGTGGTTCACGAGCCAAAGTAGTGATCAACATTACCCAAAACAGCCAGAGTAGTGTGAATTCATTGTATCACTTACTATAGGACTTTTCATATTTGAACAGTATGATGGGGAAATATTTAGCGTATATTATTCTCACAGCAAATAAGTTAATAACTTTGTGCAAGTTGATAACTTAATTGGTTAATAACATCATAAAAGCATCCTGACTGGTTAATAATTAAATCATACAGGAGACACATGAGCCACTTGCGGCTCCCGAAGCTCAGTCTGAATATCACTGCTCTAAGGGTACTTCAGAGGCCTGATTCCATCCCATCCCAAATCCAGTAGCACTGAGCCTCCGGTGTGCCCTTAGAACTACCCCCATGCTTCTGCTCTGGAGTGGTAACAGGCCTCAGCTAGTGCTGCCCAGAGGATTCAGGGGGGCTGGGGCAAAGCAATTTCCGGGGCCCCTTCCACAAAAAAAAGCTAGTTTTACTGCCCCAAGCGGCGAAGGAAAATAAAAAAAGAAAAACCCAAAAAAGAAGAGGGCAGGAGGACCAGCTGCCGAATTGCCACAGAAGACTGAAGCAGAGCAATTGAGCTGCTGCTGAAGTGCCCACAACGAGGAAGAGAGGGACTGAAAGATCTGCCACCAAATTGCCGCCGAAATTGCCCCCGCCGTCTGCAGGGCTCAGGGCCTGGGCAAATTGCCCTACTTTCCCCCCCGGGCAGCCCTGGCCTCTGCTACACCCTGGCAATCCCTTCTTTCCTCTTCCCTTGATCCAAGGGCAGCAGTGGGGCTTACCGTCCAGAGTGCAGAGGGCAAAGAGGCCCGAGCCAGCATCCGCTTTAGTGCAGCCTGCAGACACAGAACAGAAGCACATGTCATTCATGCTGCTGTCTAGCCCAGATCTCAGCAGCAACATTTGGCTGTAGCCTCCCTAATCTCTCACCGTCGGCCCACCATCCCGATCGCCTTCTCCCCCTCTATATGGAGCACCAGGGCTGTGGTCAGGCAGGGTGTGACAAGCTAGAGGAATCTGCTTCCCCTGCTCTCCTGGAGGGATGGGTCACTGTGGTACAATCTCCTCCGACTCTTTGGAGGGGGAGGACCAGCTGAAAACAACACAGAGGGGGAAGGGGAAAGGAAGGGGTTCAGTGAATCTACCCTCCCAAGCTAAGGGTCCTTGTTGCAGTTTCTGGCCTTTTGCACCCCCCCTTTCTGATTCCTCTCCCCCTGGGCTTGGCCAGTATTTTGATCTGCTATTACACACAGTCCTGCCCACTCCTAGCCACTGATCACAAGGCCCAGAGAAGCCTGGATTGGCATCTCTTCTCCCCCAACCCCCCCCCCCGCCAAGGAGGGAGACCTTCCCTCCTGGCCTGTCTCCCTCTCAAGGGCTCTGTGACAGCGGCAGTTTCAAGAGGAACCTTTAACATGGTCCACCCCCTTCAGCTGGAGTTGCTACCCAAAGCCCACAGAGGCGAGGCTGAGGGTGGTCAGGGCCCAAAGAGCCCCGCTTGACTGTCTCCCCACTTCTCCCCAGAATTGTGACTTAACAACTTGAGCTGGAGATTGCCCCTGAGTTAAAGGGCCTGCATCAAGCTAACAACAGTGAGTCTGACTCTGCTCTCACTGACGTGTAAATAAGGACTATTGAATGTTGCTCCACAATACCATCGTCAACCCACACATGTGGCAGACTTTGGACAGAGACTGGGAGGTGGAATAGCACTGGTGTTGCAGGAGGGTCTGAAGGTATCTAGCCTGAGATGTTAGGAGACATTTCTGCCCAGCCTTCAAACTTTGCATAATGGTTATTTACCACACTTTCACCATCTTGTTACTATCCTATTTTCTTTATCTCTTTCCTTCCCTTGTAGGGCATCCCTGGCTATTACAAAGCAATGAATTTTAAACAGCTAGTTTACATGTGAGTGGGAGTGGGACTGGCTGGTTTTGCTCACTGATCCTAGGATTCTCCCATGTAATGTGAGCTGCAGCTACAGGTCCATGGGTGCCTGTGGTTTAATCGCCTCTTTTACACTCCCTTGATTCTCCAGAAATGCACAAGTGCAGGCAGCAGCTCCGCTGGGGAGCAGGAGAGGCCTTGCAAATATACGTTCCCCTCCCCCTGTCCTTGCCTTTGAATGCAGCCTGGTGCTGCAGCTGGGGGCACGTGGGGAAGGCCACAAGGTGGAACAGGATCAGCTGGCTGTATGGGAAAGTGAGCACAAAGCACTCCCAAAGGCAAACGTTGAGCAAATCTGCAGAGGAACGCTGTCTCTCCGGAAAAGCTCTCAGTCCCACGCCACTGCCAAGTTCCCCCCAAGTCTGCACTAGGGCAACACTCTGCAAAGCAGCCTTGCTCCCTCCTGACAAGCACTGGCTGGATGCTTGGGAGCCCCACTTTACCAGCTGATTGGCTGGTTGGACACAGCTACTCAGTGACTTTCACATAGTGTGCCCATGTAACTGAGTGCCATGATACACAAAGGCAAACACAGCACCATTCCCATCGTCCGCAGGCTGGGAAATGCTTTTATTTTTAAAAGGCAATACCAGGAGGGTGGCATGAAAGGGGCATATGTCTCTCCAGGGAATCTATTAGAGGGGCAGCCATGGAGACTGGCACTGTTAAATACTGTAACTGAGTGGGGTCCCTTGGGATACATCTACTCAGCGAAAAAAGATCTGCAGGAGCAAGTCTCAGAGCCTGGATCAACGGACTCAGGCTTGCAGGGTTTGCACTACGGGGCTAAAAATAGATGTGTAGATGTTCGGTCTCGGGATGGAGCCTGGCTCTGAAACCATCTATTTTTACCCCATAGCGTTAGCCCGAGTCAGCTGACCTGGGCTCTAAGCCGCGCTCCCGTGGGGTTTTTTTGCTATGTAGATGTTCCCTTGGAGACCAGCTCTGCTGTTGGGATCACACCAGCCACTTACACTATCTTTACCCAGCCACCCAGCTGGAGAGGAAGTGCAGGGCAGTTTGCTAAGGATGCCCATTTTGACTCAGCCACTTTCCTTCTGCAGCTCACATCTTGTCTTACAGATCCAACCGGTGTAACTGCTAAGCCACCTACTGTGCGCATGGGGAGAATCACCCTAGAAGGGTGCGCAATTGCCTAGTGATTGAGGTTTAACGCCCACTTTACAGAGGAGCAGCTACCGACACAAGGAGCAACTTTGGCACACCCAGCTCTCTGCTTCTAGACAGCGTTGCTTTGTGGTTCTCCCAGCCTGGCACAACGCTGTTTTGCCTGGGTGTCTAGTACTTATATCCAAAAACCAAGTTGTCATTGAAAAGACTGTGACAGGATAAGCAGGGTCCAGTTGACTGGGGGACTGCACAGATTACATGCTGATATGTAGCTTCCCCAGAGCCAGCCAGTGCTGATATGTAGCTCCCCCTTCTCTCAGCCACCAGGTAACTATGCAGGAACACAACTTCACTGTGGGAGACTGGGACACTGAACTGCAGCACCTTTGCTGGCCAGCCTGGGGGCAGGGGGGTGTTAGCTATCTACACACACCCCAGCAGGGAGACAAGACTCTCTTTTGGGTAACAGCTCATGTCAAGTAAGCAACATTCTCATGTACAGTCACATCAGTGTTTGTAAAGTGATACTGAAAGCCAGGTAGGGCTGGATGCCGAGATGTGTACTGACAGAAACCACTTCCTGAAGCCCCTTTACAAAATGTAGGTCCTTAGCCCCTAGCAGTTGGCACTGCTCTGACACCAGGGATCCTTGTCTCCCCTTGTTCTGCACGTTTCCCTTTGCCAGCAGGCTCCACCAATCAGTACGAGGTCCGGGGCTTTGCATGCAGTGAAATAACTGATTTCACGTCCTGGTGCTCCCAGTACTTGGAGCAGTGTTTGAGATCCTGAAAACGTGACAGGCCGAAGGGGAGCCCTGCGTGCTGAGATCAGGGAGGATTTGATGCTGAGGATGCAGGCACCCCTCACTGCTCCAGCTCCGCAAAGCACCCCACACCTTCCTCAGACAGCATGGTTGGGGTTAACCCTCTCCCTCCCGCACAGGGCAAGCGCAGCAGTAGAGAAAAAGAGAATGTGACTTGCCCTGACAATTCATGCCTCCTTGAGCATGGCCCCCATGAAGGAGGGAGTCTACAGCAGCTCTGCTAGGCTGGAGTCTAGGAGAGGGAGCCAAGGACCAACCCACAGAGCACGCAGGAAGGTGCGTGCAGCTAGAGGAGAGCCGGTGGCTGTGTGTGAGGGATGGTTACACAGAAGGGGGTAAGAGGAGCCTGCAGCTGTCCAGAGGTTGGACACGGTGGCTACACAGACCAAAATGGGAGGCGCAACTGCGCAAGGACTGGAGCATGGACACTGCCCAGGATGGGACTGGGGCTGCGCAGGGTAAGGGAAAAGTGGGCTACAGCTGGGCAGAGGTGTAGGACAGGGGCTGCTAGGAGGGAATGTGTGCGGCAGAATGAGGGTGGCAGATGAACAGACTCAGTGGACAGGATTGAAGCTGCTGACGTGAAGGCACGAGGGTGGCACAGGCTGAGCAGCAGGGAGAACGAGCGACAGCTGCACAAAAGCAGGGATCAAGGACGATGTTAGCATGGGAGTAAGCTATACAGGGTGGGAGATGGGAGCGGCTCCAGTGGAGGAAGCTGCAAAGGGCAGGGCATGGGGGCTACAGAAGAGTCTAATGCAGGGGTGGGCAAACTTTTTGCCCCAAGGGCCACATCTGGGAATAGAAATTGTACGGCGGGCCACAAATGCTCACAAAATTGGGGTTGCGGTTTGGGAGGGGGTGAGGGCTCTGGATGGGGATGTGAGCTCTGGGGTGGGACAAGAAATGAGGAGTTCAGGGTGCAGGAGGGGGCTCCAGGCTGGGGAGTGGGGTGCAGGGGGGGGCTGAGGGCTCTGGCTGGGGGTGTGGGCTCTAGGGTGGGGCTGTGAATTAGGAGTTTGGGGTGTAGGCGGGTGTGCCGGGCTGGGATCGAGGGGTTCAGAGGGCAGGAGGGGGATCAGGGCTGGGGCAGGGGGTTCAGGCGTGGGGAGGGGCTCAGGGGTGCAGGCTCCAAGCGGTACTTACCTCAGGCGGCTCCTGGAAGCAGTGGCATGTCCCTTCTCTGGCTCCTATGAGGAGATGCAGCCAGGTGGCTCTGCACACTGCCCTGTTCACAGGCACCACCCCTGCAGCTCCCATTGGCTGTGGTTCCTGGCTAATGGGAGCTGCGGGGGTGGCACTTGGGGCAGGGGCAGCATGCAGAGTGGAGCCCCCTGGCTGCCCCTATGCGTAGGAGCCAGAGCGGGGCCATGCCGCCGCTTCTAGGAGCCACGTGGAATGGCCTCCCACCCTGCTCCCCATCTGGAGCGCCGAAGCAGAGCAAGCCCCAGACCCCGCTCCCCAGTGGGAGCTCAAGGACCAGATTAAAACAGCTGGCGGGTCGGATCCAGCCCACAGCCATAGTTTGCCCACCCCTGGTCTAATGCAAACTGTTCAGCTATCGTAACGTCCTGGGGCCAGTCTGTAATTTGGGAGCTGGCTAGTGTGGACCAGGCTTCTTTCCAATTTTGTGGCCACCTGCTAGGTATTCACTTCCAGGAATCTGATTTGCTCCTGGATTTATTTATTTAGTTATGTGACATCCCCATCCTCTAACAGAATCCAACAGAATCAATAGCTGGAAGTCTATGGTCTCAGCCCTGTGCACTGCTGCAGGCTCTGCCTCTGCCTCTTACCTCGGCCAATGCTGCCAATTAGATGAGTGGAAACGTTCTTGTTATGAATCCTGCCAGACGTCTGGTGAAGGATAACGTCCCGAACTGGGGCCTCCCTAGGGAGAAGGGAGAGATAAGAGGGGAAAGGGTTAGGGATTCCAGCCAGAGAGAATCCCGGAGCGGCCCCTAGTCACTGACCTTGAATCCCAGGGCAGGAATTTTTACACACACTGATTTCTGGAGACTGCCTCCTGTCCCAGCAGGGCAGATGGGCAGGGGAGATCAGTCCATCAGGGGGATGTTTCAGTCACTAAGAAAGCACAGGGTTTTCAACTGCCTGACTGTATTTATTTGCTGATAAATACCTGGGAAGGGCCTATGTGGCAAATCTGAGTGCATACGTGCATCATGGGGAGGGAAGGAATTAACTAAGAGCCTTTCTGAACCACTCACAGTTATATTGGACAAACTGGAGAGAGTTCAGCGGAAGGCAATGAAAATGATTAGGGGGCTGGGGTACATGACTTATGAGGAGAGGCTGACGGAACTAGGGTTATTTAGTCTGCAGAAGAAAAGAGTGAGGGGGGATTTGATAGCAGCCTTCAACTACCTGAAGGGGGGTTCCAAAGAGGATGGAGCTCGGCTATTCTCAGTGGTGGCAGATGACAGAACAAGGAGCAATGGTCTCAAGTTGCAGTGGGGGAGGTCTAGGTTGGATATTAGGAAAGCACTGGAACGGGTTACCTCGGGAGGTGGCGGAATCTCCATCCTTAGAGGTTTTTAAGGCCCGTCTTGACAAAGCCCTGGCTGGGATGATTTAGTTGGGGACTGGTCCTGCTTTGAGCAGGGGGTGGGACTAGATGACCTCCTGAGGTCTCTTCCAACCCTAATCTTCTATGATTCTATGATATTGGCGGAAAAAATTAGACACCTGAGAAGGTGCTGAGAGACAGCAGAAAAGCCAAGGGAATACCAGTTTTCAGACAAGGAAAGGAAAGATCCTGAGAGTCACCCTCACTATAGAGTCAGAGAGTTTAAGGCCAGAAGAGACCACCAGTTCATCTCGTCTGACCTCCTGTGTATCCCGGGCCACCAACACCACCCAGCATCTGCACTCTAAACCTAACAATCGAAATGAGGCCAAAGTCTTTCAGCCGTCAGGAGACTAGACTATTGTGTGCCACTGGCAGGGACTAGGCCTGAGGCCCAGAACAGCAGAGAAATGATTATATTATAAGGCGGCCTTTTATTCACTTGGGAAATTGGCTAGGTAGGACACAAGAAGGTTCTGGAGGGAACAAGCCTGCCCTGGTCCCAAGGAGACAGACTGGATGAACGAATGGGGTTTTTCTGTTTAACTCCCAGGATTCAATTTATAAAGCTTCCTTTTGACACCTCTGGGAGCATGGACAACAACAATAAAAACCACAAGAGAAAAGTCCCACCTTGGGGCTGTAGATTCAGAGGGCTGACTGGGCTTCCTACTGGCTCCCCCTCCCACTGATCAGGCCCCCAATGAGCCTCCCTCCCCTTATCTGGGCATTCACTTGGCTTCCATCCACTTCCGTCAACTCAGCACCCAAGCTTCCCCAACTACTTTTGGATCTTGCAAGCCATTTCCTCCACACCCCAGTGGCACCTCCTTGCCCGGCATGCAAACGCATGATGCAGGGAGCGGAGCCAGAGCGTTCAGTCCATAGCAGAGCAAAGCAGGGAGCACTCAAGCACCAGGGTTTTGGGGGTGAAGATAGATGGGCTTACTGCACGTGGATGCTCCCAGAACAGGGGTAGGAGTAGGAGGGCAGGCAGTGAAGGAGGATGCAAAGTAAAGGGGGCAGATGGAGTGTAATCATCAATCAGAATGTGGTGCAACCATGCCTCCTTGTGGCAGGTCTGTAAAACTGCACCTCTATGTCTGTCCCATTGGATCCTAATGCCCACCTGCTGGTTGCAGAGCTGTCTCCTCCCTCTGCTAGGGGCTGCTGGTCCGGCTTCCAGGTGCAGAGCAGGATAGCGTAGCCACAGCCCGGCTGGGACACCATCATCTCGGGGGCACCATCAGGGCCCGGGTTCACAGAGAGGCTGTCCACCTGCACCAGCCCAGGAACAGTAAGCAGGATTGTGAGTGGAAGGACTGTACACTTCCCAAAGGGAGGGAGAGAGGGAGAGAGTGTGTGTGTTTGCGTGAGTGTGAGAGAGAGAGTGTGTCCCCAATCACCCCCAAGGCAACAGGCTCTCTGGAAAAGCAGGTTTCTGCCAGAAAGTCGACAGGCATTGAACCGAGTTCAACAAAGGAGATGACATGTCCAGTCCCATGTTGGGGGACACAATCCTTTTTCCCCAAAAGAGAATGGAAACACCATAGTGGGTTGCCAGTTTTGGTTGGCTGTATTCCTGGAGGTTTCATCACATGACATAATCTTTAATTAAAGACTCCAGGACAATCCTGGAGGGTTGGCAACCTTAGATTCAGGGAGAGCAGAGCAAGGTTAAAGCAGCTGACTGGACACCCAATCACCTGCACCTGTCAGCTGCCCTGCACACACCGCACAAACCCTGGGGGGAAATTCACTCCTGACGCACCCATTGCTGATCTTTTGTTCAGAAGACTGGGGCTTGGCTCCTCTTCCTTTGGAGGGCTCTGCTCTTTGGGAGACCTAGCTCCTGAAGTCCATACTCAACATACCTCCATCTAGGGCACCCTGCTTCCTACCTGCCCCTCCAGCAGCCACTTCTTCAGCAGCACCAGCTGGCCGGAGATGTGGTCGGAGCTCTCAGACAGGTCCTCCCAGCGGAAGGCTCGCACCACACGGTCCGTGTAACCCACCACCAGCTCGAACTTCCCATCTCCATCTGCAGGGGACACAGGGAGACAACAATGGCTTCCATCAAGGCATCACAGTCCCACTGCCTGCAGGCACACTTAGCACAGAGTCACACAAGCGTCCGCTGTACCATGATCCCAAAGATCCTTAGGGCTCAGATACCACAGTGAAGGGCACCTTAGAAAAATCTCAGACCTCCTAGCTCCCCAACAGCTCATGAACTGCAGCACCCCAAAAGCCCCAAGATCTTCTCTCCTCTCTTCTAGGGCTAAGATGGGTTGGGTTCCTGCTTCCCTCATGTCCTGGTACATGCACTGCCCTGCTGAGCCCCATGCACCTGTTCTACTCTTACCATCGCCATGTGCTTGAGCTCCTGCTCTGCCCCCTTCTATCCCACATACTCACCAATGTCGTTGATCAGCATGACCTTGGTGTTGGCAGGAATGTGCTGCTTGAACACCGGCTTCTGCTCATCTGCCAGTGGGGGTTCATGGTGGCCAGACGCATCTGGATGCTTTGAGGGTGGAGGAGTCAGGTCAAACAGATGAAACCAGCCCTCGGCACTCACGGCAACCACCAGATTCTGAGAGGAGAGGGGAGTCCTTGAATCAATAGAAGAGGTGGTGAGATTGCCTGCAACAGTCCCCCACGGGGGCAAGGGCAGGGCCATCAAGATGAACTGTGACTACACTGCGAGCTCTGTCTGCAGGGCCAATTGTTAGTGTTTGGCTAGGTGTGGTCAGTGCAGGGGCTACTGCGCCAGAGTCAGCTCGCACTCACAGAGAGATGTCTGGAAAGTACAGAGCAGTGCAGCAGAGCCAAAGCATCCAACCGTCTTGGTCACCTTTGCCAGACCAAGGGCTTGCCTGCACTTGAAACGCTAGAGCAGTGGCACCGCTAGAGTGGTGGATCATATTACAGAAGTTCTGTATTAAAATCACAAATGAGTTTGATTCCCCATAGTTTAAATTCCAGGGTATTACTAATTAAGAGGTCTCTTGGTTTTTGGTACTGTTTCGCTCCCTCTCTGTGTGAAACTTGCAAGCTGCTAATTGTGTTAGTACATTCTAAGACAGAGTCTGTTCTCGAAGCAATTCACACAGAGAGAGACTCAAAGCAATACTCTGTAACAACAGAAACAGCACCCAGAGACTCCCCGCCCTTTTGTTGTATTAACAATTGTGATTAAAATAGAGAGAGAGGATGTATGTGGATGGATGCTTGGTGTGGATAATAACCGAATGGTCAGGGAGGTGCCAGCCTAAGAATCCAGTGTCCATCGGCTGAAGAAGGCGTCAAGTGGAAATAACCAGAGGATCCCCGGACGGCAGACTAGAATCCACCCAACAGCCTCAAGAATGGGAGAACCAAAGAACAAGATAACATCTAGCAGCACGGAGCCGTCAGGAATGTGCTCTCTGCTGATTGATTCAGCAACAGCATGATGAAGCAATTCCCATAGACTGGCATAGGAAAAAATTCCTATAAAAACAGACTCTAAAAAGTGAGAACTTTGGGGTCTGATTCTGCAAACCAACTTCCAGGAGCATCAGATGAGCAACTGACAAGGCCCTGCTCCCTCCTCATGTCCAGGCCACCTGGCCAGTGGCTTGGCATGAGCAACTCTAAGGCTGGTAACTATGCTAACAACCTTGCAGAACCTGTGTGTGTGTGTTTGTATGAATGAATGTGTGAATAAATATGAGATTGAATGGAATGTTATAGCTATGACTAACTGCTTACTATGATTCTTTCTGTATTCACAATAAATGTGGTATTTTGTCTTTTTCCCTTCAATAAGATCCTGCTGGTTTTTATTTTATTGGTATAACAAGAGCATCTAGTGTATGCTACCTAAGCTGGCAGGAGGGCTTCTCCCATTGGTGTAGGTAATCTACCTCCCCAAGATTTAGGTCAACTTAACAACATCGTTCAGGGGGTTGAATTTTTCACACCCGTAAGCAACACAGCTGGGTCGACCTAACTTTTTAGTGCAGACCAGGCCTAAGTCTTCAACTGTCACAGTCCCTTCCTATTCATCACACTCACATAGTGTGACACTCTCTCTCTCTAGTGTATAATGGTTCATGAGGCTGCTATAGCACTTAAGCCATGGAACGTGAGTTTAGATGATGGGATCCAGAGGTCCGGGTTTAATTCTCCCAGATAATGGCCCAGCAAGAGCTGTCTTATTACACGGACTGGAGTCTGCAATGGCGCTTGGGCTGCTCTGCATCTCAGTCTTTGCAAGGGCCAGTTTAAGTGCACACAAGTGAATGGCAGGCAGGCAACAGCTGCACCACAGGGCCCAGCACAGTCAAGTAGTACACATGAGGATCGGGTGGGACACTCCAGGGTCAAACATGCCCATACAGGTTAGATGCACTAGTCATTGGCAGGTCACTTCCCTAGTAAGGTGTTGGTTTGCTTACTCATCAGGCCGGTCTGTGGCTCATACAGGACATTAATTGAGGGACAGTGTTTAAACCAGTAGCAGTGCTAGCTCTCTCAGAACCCGGGAAGGGCTGTACGGAGAAAGAACCTGGGGGACTCTCCTCCCCACTTCAGACGTGCTGCAACCCCAAACAACTGCACATGTCAAAGGTCAATCTCCCTCCTCCAGTGTGAGCATTGCTGCGGGGGGGTTGGGGGGAGCCAAATGCCCTCACCTTTCCTCTATTGCACACGTCCCCAACACCAACGCAGGTGAGCTGCAAGAAAAGAGAGGGACTTCAGAAACCAGGAAGGAGCAAAGAAAACATACATCAATACTTTGGGCTAAGTCTGCACTAGTGATCCTTCAGCCCTCAGGATCGTCCTCAAAGTCAGCATCCCTCTGGCTGAGGACCTGTCTAACCTCACTCCTTCAGACAAAGGAGTGAGGCCAGGCCCAATGGCAGAACCTGGCTTTCCCACGCAGAGCTTGGGGGCAAAACCCTCTGCACACGGGGGAAAGGACGAGGATGGAGGAGGGAACAAGAACTTTCTCTCGAGTGGCTGTTCAGCACTTTGGACAGCACTGCTTGCCCAGAGTGTGAGAGCCCAGGATTGGGGCGGGGAGCAGGGTCTCTGATGCAATTGTGCAGGGCCTCAGGACCAGCCCTGATGCCTTCTTCTCTGAAGGCTTTCCATTCCCACATGGCATTCCAGGCAAACAAACAGCACAGGCTCCAAAGAACGCAGAGGAGTGGCAAACTCTGCCCCAACAGACCATTCCTTGGCAGGAGCGCACGGCCCAGGGCTTGCTATCGTCATTCTTGTACACGCAGAGTTTCCCGTTGGTGTCCCCCACCACTAGCTCGTTCAGCTGGAGAAAAGGGAAGAATGTTAATGATGGGAAATTCACACCCACCCTCATCATCCCCAGCAGGGAAAAAGAAACCAGAATTCAGATGTAAAGCTGCAAAACAGGAAGCAGAAAATGGAAAAGAAGAGAGAAAAGGGGAGATCAGAGATAACAGGAGAAGGAGGGAAGAGCAGCAGCAGTAGAGACATAAGATAAAAGACAACATTCTATTCCACCGGATAGTGTAGTGGTTAAGGGGGTTCCCTGGAGCACCTTATTCAAATTCAACTATCAGGGAAGATTTCCCTGTCCCTCCCTGGACATTGTTAAATCAGCCCTGTCATAAATATAAAGGGAAGGGTAACAACCTTTATGTATGCAGTAATATAAAATCCCTCTTGGCCAGAGGTGCAGAATCCCCTTACCTGTAAGGGGTTAATCAGTTCAATTAACCTAGTTGGCACCTGACCAGAAGGACCAATGGGGAAAGAAGATACTTTCAAATCCGGGGGAGGGGAAGGGGGGAGCTTTGTTTTTGTGCTCTGTGTGTGTTCTCTTGGGAGACAAAGAGAGAGACCAAGCAAGTAATCCAGCTCCTACTGAATGATACATCTAAATTACAGGAATAGTAAGTAATAGCAAGGAAATGTGTTAGAGTATCTTTTGTTTTAGCTTGTGAATTTTCCCTATGCTTAGAGGGCACTTTATCCCTGTTTTTCGTAACTTTAAAGTTTTGCCTAGAGGGGAATCCTCTGTGTTTTGAATCTGATTACCCTGTAAAATTACCTTCCATCCTGATTTTACAGAGGTGCTTCTTTTACTTTTTTTCTTTATAATAAAGGTCTGGGTTTTTTTTAAAGAATCTGATTGGTTTTAGAGTCCTAAAAACCCAGGGATTTGGTCTGTGCTCACCTGTACCAACTGGTGAGGATATTATTGTCAAGCCTCCCCAGGAAAGGGGGTGAAGGGGCTTCAGGGGAATACTTTGGGGAACAGGAACTCCAAGTGGTTCTTTTCCTTGAATCTTTGTCTAACTCACTTGGTGGTGGCAGCGAATACCGTCCAAGGACAATAAGGGATTTGTGCCTTGAGGGAGTTTTAACTTAAGCTGGTAGAAATAAGTTTAGGGGGTCTTTCATGCTGGTCCTCACATTGGTACCCCAGAGTTCAGAGTGGGGAGGGAACCCTGACAAGCCCCATCAGAGACTACATCCTTGGAGCTGTTAAAAATGCTTTATAAAACATTTGTCCAGTGTATTGGAGTGGGACTCAGAAGAGCGGGATTCTACAACTGATGTACTGTGTGACCTTGTGCAAGTCACTTTGTTGCTTTGTGCCTCAGTTTCCCCTCCCGTTCTCTGTTTAGAGTGTAAGCTCTTTGAGACAGGAACTGTCTCTTTCTCATGTACAACACTCAGCACCAAGGAGCTCTGATCTCAGTTGGGGCCTATCAGCACTACTGTAATATAAACAAATAATGCTTATGCCTTTGGAATGGACTAGAATACACCAAGTGGCAGGGATTTCAAAAATATCTCCTGGGGCTGGCCATTCCCTACAAGCTCTCCTGGCCCCTTCCAGTTATGTGTATTGCATTACGCTAGGAATTTGCTCAGTATAATTTCCACGAGCAGAATATAACTATTGCTTAGAAAGGGTGTGATGGTGCCCCCCATAAGGTTTTATGAAAATATACTTATGAATGTATATATGACATAACTAGAATGAGTTTATGCTACATATGCCATGTAACATATCTCTGTAAAGGTTATGATCTACCGAATCTATTAATCCTATTTGTATGCATGTATCATTTTTGTATTCGAAGTTATGAATTTTGCCTGTGTACTTGTTTGATTCTGAGTAGGTTTTAGTGAAGCAGTTGGTCAGCTTCCTGAGAAAAGACTATTCTCAGTAAGTGTCCAATCAAGAAGCCCTTAAGCCAACAATGAACTTGGAGATGCCAATCCACATCTGGGCTTTCCCAGGAATGTGGCTTGGCTGGTAAGGAACTCAGTCATGCATGGACATGTGACTTGCCCAGGTGACTCCAAAACTCCATTTTGCATAGGAGAGAGGAGGGGGTCTCTACCCACAAGATAAAGTCTATTTAAACCCCTGGGAGACCCCTCCATTTTGTCTTCAGCTGGCTAAAGAGAGAGCCTCTCCACCCCCAAGGATACCTGAAAGAAACTGGAACAAACGACAGTAACTACAGGGAGTGTGAGTGATTGCTGGACCCAGACTAGAAGGAGACTAGTCTGTAAAAGAGAGCTTACTGGAACTGGTGAGGTTTTATCTGTATTCAGTTTGATTAGACATAGACTTTTGTGTTTTATTTTATTTTGCTTGGTAATTCACTTTGTTCTGTCTGTTACTACTTGGAACCACTTAAATCCTACTTTCTGTATTTAATAAAATCACTTTTTACTTATTAATTAACCCAGAGTATGTATTAATACCTGGAGGGGGGGCAAACAGCTGTGCATACCTCTCTATCAGTGTTATAGAGGGAAAACAATTTATGAGTTTACCCTGTATAAGCTTTATACAGGGTACAACGGATGTATTTGGGGTTTGGACCCCACTGGGAGTTGGGCACCTGAGTGTTAAAGGCAAGAACACTTCTCAAATTGCTTTCAGTTAAGCCTACAGCTGTTAGGGGATTTGGTTCAGACCTGGGTCTGGGTTTGCAGCAGGCTAGCGGGTCTGGCTCAAACCAGGCAGGGCACTGAAGTCCTAAGCTGACAGGACAGGAAAACAGGAGCAGATGTAGTTTTGGCACATCAGGTGGCAGTCCCAAGGGGGTTTCTGTGATCCAACCCGTCACAGAGGGCGGTGACTATTAGTTGCCAAATGAAGCCACTGCCTTCTACAGTTTTGATTAGAACAGATAGTTTGTGTTTAAGTAGGGAAACAAATTACATGTTCATGATGACCTGTGTTGCTAAGTGGATAAGCTCCTGCATTTTGTACGAAGTGAGTGTTTTCAGGGTCAGTGGCTTTGTTCCTGAATAGGAGTTGTAATAATCAAGGCTGGTGGTCACAAATTTCGCTCAGGGAGCCTCATGGTGGCAGCTGACCAAAGTACCCCACTGCAGTGGGGTTTGTTTGCTCCATATTAGATGAGAGGAACAGGAGTGTTTGAACGGCGTTCCTGTGACCAGACCAAGGGTTTGCACTGCTGCAGTCTGACCCCGGTCAAACTGGGGCAGCACAGGATTTGTGTTGAGGCTGCCACCTCGTACTCCAGAACTCGTCTCTAACCCTTAAAGGTGTGGAAATAATGGTCCAAATGTGAATTGTGTAAACCAGTGCAGCCCCACTCATGCCAAGAGGGTGTCAGCTCTCACAGTCAGCAGGTGCCAGGGGGAAGCCAGCACCAAGGACCCAGGGGAAGGCAGCGCAAGGAGGGCGCCGGGGGAGGGCAGCAGAGGGAAGGCAGCACCGAGCAGCGCAGCGCAGGGAGGGTGCCCAGCGAAGGGCAGCACCAGGGGGCGCACCACGCGGCCCCCGCGGGCAGAACCCCTTATGCAAATACCGAGCCAGACCCCGCCCACTCCTCCGACCGATTCCCACAGCTGTTCGCGCGCTCGCCCGACCCTCCCGCGCATGCGCCCTGTACATCACCCTCTCCGCCTTAGACCCCAAGCCCCGACGCCTCTTGGTACCGTATCGTTATCGGCGTCTCCCAGGCATATGGCGTGGGGGAAGAGGCTCCCGCTGAACTCGAGCGCCACCCGCTGCACATAACTGACCGACCGCATCTCCGCGGCGACCATAGAGATGGTCTCTCTCTCTTGGGCGGGCCGACGCTCCGGCTCTCTATGACCATCGGGGTGCTACGGAGGCTCCACAGGCTCAAAAAGCGCACCGAGGGTGGGGGAGAAAGCGAGGCGTAATCACGTGACGGGCCGGTCCCTGAAAGACTCGGTTCCAGCCTGTGGTCGGGCGGGGGCAGCAGAGCCGGGCTCTTGGAGTCCCGCAGCCAAGGGAGGGCGGGGGCCGAGCTGTCCTCCCTTCCCCCCCGCCCCCAGGCCAAGGGGTGGGGGTCACCTCTCCAGCCCCACCTGCCCTTTGCGCGCAGGGGTGGGGCCTACAGCCTGAGCCTGGCTGTCACAGGGGTCTGCGTAAAGCCCCAGCGCCTGGAGTCAGGAGATCCAGGGCAGCTCCCGGCTCTCCCTGGAAAACCAGTGCTGGCTGTGGAGAGGAGCTTGACGCCTCACCATTGGTGGTGCAGAAGCCAGGGTGCAGCGACCCCACCAGCTGTTAAGTTTTAAAAAAATCTCATGATTTGAGAGCCAGTCTCAGCTTGTGGGGGCTCGACTCGTAAGTTTTGAAGAGCAGGGCTTGGTGATACCAGGGTTTAGGGACTCGCTGAGGACATCAACAATGCGGGGGAAGGGGGGATGAGAAGGGAAGAGCCTAGCTCAAACTCTCAGATCCCAGGCTGAATCTGACAGGCTCGCAGTTAAAAATACGTCTCTTGTTACTTGTAAACTGAGCACATTGGCTCTGGAGTCACCGAGACCCACAAATCATGGAGCCCCGTGATGCCATTTTTGACACTTGTCGGCGCCCAGCTTCAGTTCAATATAAAGATGAGACCCTGGTGACTCCAGCTTCTGGTATGTAGTGCTCCATAAGGCTACTCACAGAAAGCATTATATGTTGGAACACTGGACTAGAAAGCAGGAAATTAAAATTCCCAGCTCTCTAATTTGCAGCATGACCAGGGGCAAATCACAGGTCTCATCCCCAACTATAAAATGGGACGGATACTTACATTCCTTTTTAAAGCACATTGAGGTCTACCATTAAGATGCTTATGAGTTGTGCTGCAGTCACTACAGTGCAGATGACTGAAATCTCCATCTGCATTGTCCTGTGGTGGAAGCAACTTCTCTGAGCAGGTGTAGTGGTACAAACGAAAAGCAATATACAAGTACTATTATAAAAGATGGTAGAACTCTGTTCCTGTTTTGGGCTATGGATCCTGTGTAAAACTTCTCATGCTGAATTTGTTACATAATCAGCTCTGTGGAGGTGCTTGCAGGTCCAGAAACTCTGAGTCTAATCCAGGCAGTGTTCATATTTTACAGGTGGGGAAACAAACCCTGAGGCCCAAGACCATTGACTGGCTGGATGGCCTTGACCTGTCTCCCCACCTTTAAATTGACGATACCTATAGGTGTCTTTGGTGAGGAAGGCTAATGACATACAACCAGAAATTCTCTCTTCTGAGCTGTCTTTATGCTTGTGGCGCATCACACAAGGCCAACAGAGCAATTCTTCCCTCAAACCACTCATTCAACCATTAAGTGTGTCAATATTCAAAACCTTCCAAGGGGTAGGGACACTGTGGGCCCAGTTCTCTTACTCCCACTGCTGCAAGCAAGGAGGAGTTAGCGTCACTGAAGTCAATGGAATTACAGAATAGTAAGTGGGAGGAGAAGACTGTCATAGATCTCCAATGGGCACCAGGCAGCAAAGAGGGTGCTCTTCTGATGGACTATGCAAACTCTGTTCTTAAAAACAAAAAATAATAATAAAAAAATCCCTCTTCAGTATCTTCATTTTCTGGTTTTATTCTTCCTGACATCTTGTGGCTGTCTCAGGAAAACAGAATACATCTTAACCGGAACAGACACTATAAGACCCAATTATTTTTTCCATCAGAGCAGGGATGTTTGTTCTGGTTTCTTAGCCAAATTCCAACTCCCATTATATTCTACTTCCTTGAAATTCCCCCTCATAACTTCAGTTGGGAGACTGTTCTTCATAGCTTGTCCTAAACTGTCATATAGTGTTTCTAACGTTCCACTCAAGAGGCGGCTGCACTGCAGTACAAAAGGAAATGGGTCTTGTGCACATAGAGTCTGATTCTTCTCCGATTTACACTAGAGTAAATCAGGAGTAATTACATTTAAATCAGTGGTGTTACAGGGTATAAGTGAGATCAGAATCAGGCCCGACGTCTGTAAAGTGGGTCCAATTCAGGAGGAAAGGCAGTTACAGTAGAACCTTAGAGTTACGAACACCAGAATTACGAACTGACCAGTCAACACCACACCTCATTTGGAACCGGAAGTATGCAATCAAACAGCAGAGACCAAAATAAATAAATACTGTACAGCACTGTGTTAAATGTAAACGACTAAAAAAATAAAGGAAACGTTTAACATTTTATTTTGACAAGGTACAGAAACTTTCTGTGCTTGTTTCATTTAAATTAAGATGATTAAAGCAGCATTTTTCTTCTGCACAGTAAAGTTTCAAAGCTGTAATAAATCAATGTTCAGTTGCAAACTTTTGAAGGAACAACATTTTGTTCAGTTATGAACATTTCAGTTACAAACATCCTCTATTCCAAAGGTGTTCGTAACTCTGACGTTCTACTGTACATGCATTTCAATAAAAGTCATAATGTATATATTGGTTCAACTGAGTGTGTGAGATTTTTTTCCTTTCCTCATTGAAATTCATCCTGGGCTGTTCCTTTCTCCACCTCATTCTACTCCTCCCCCTCTCACCCTTTGTCCAATGGAAGGACAAAGGGGCATTTATACCTACCTTCTCCCCTCAAGGCAAAGATCCCCATCCTGTATCTAAATGAAGGATGTCTGCTCCAATATTCTGTCCTGCCTAAGTGGACATTCCACTTAAGACATCCAATTTGTGGTTTTGCAAGAACTCTGCCCTCAGAGTGAACCCGCCTACTCCTCTCCCCCTACTGTGTAGCTACAAAAGGAAAGTGCTTCCCCTTGGTTTCACTCAGGGTAGCAGGACAACCAACTGCAGATAAATTTAGAACCGTGCTACATTCCATGCCTGCAGCCAGGAAGCACACTTCACAGTTGGGAGGGGGGTACTACACATAAGGGCTTCCCTGTGGAGCAGTTAACAGGAGTCATTTTGCTACTTTCTTCTCAACAGCTTATGCTTAAGATTTAAAAATCCTGCATATTTCTAATGGTCTAACTTTAACCACTGCTGCTGTCCCTTTAAAACCTATGCATCAGTGAAGGGTATTTATGCAGGCCCAGCTAGGTGCTTCAGAAACTGAGTTTGTTGACAATGCTCCCATGAATAGAGATGCCATGTGCTAAAGCTGAGGGCACTGCTTTCAAACCGGACACCCAGTATTTCTAGATACAGTGAGAAATGCATTTCTTCCCCTTGCAATTAGTGGCTGGAGAGAGCAAATCTTTTATAATAGTGAATGTAGTGAACACTGTATAATACAGGCATTCATTAAAACTACCATGGCTAAGATGCAGCTGCATGACTGGGAAGGCTTGGTATAGTTTGGGGACGCTGGGAGAATCAAGTTCTTTCGTAGAGCTGTGCACATCCTGCTTAAAAACACAAATTTGACCTTTGGGAGTTTTTCTGCTTTATTGCTCAAGCTTTGACTTCACAGTCTTCACCTTCAGCAATGTGCAAAGAACAGGCATAGAAGGAGGGTTACAACACTTACTCATGGGAGGGGGTCTCTGCTTTAACAGAGGCAACAGCAAGGAGCAAGGTGGAGGCGGAAAAATTCGGTGCAGTGATTTGTTCATAAGTCTCTCAGGTGAGGACTCTCTCGGGAAAGGCAGATTGCTTTAAAAGAAAAAATCAAATGGGTTTAGGAAGCAGGACTGGGATTAGAATGAGCTGGGACCACAAAACAAGAGACACACCAATGGCAGAGTGAAATGAAACTGAGCAGAAGGAATCCTGACAGACCTCCCGACAACAACAGAGGGCTTGAATGAATAAATAAAGTCCCTAGGATTACACCAGATCTGGGCCACCACCGAGTTTCCTACATAGACATACACATGAAGCTGTAAATGACTGCGGTGTCGTGGCCCCAGCCTCTGCTCCCCTGAAGCCACCATCCAACCAGATAGAAAAATAAAGGTCTAATTCACTGGAAATTCTTCAGTTTACAAAACTAATGGAATTGGGATTGTTTTTATGCTTCTGCATCAACTTGTGATTTATCTTCGGCTCCGTTCTGTTGGTCTTCTTTCATGGTTGTGTCATCTTTACAGCTGCCACTGGTCTGGAGGGTATCAGCTTCTGGCTACATGGGAGACAATGAAAAAACTGAACGAAACGTTTACCCCTTCCCCATTCCAGCAGCTTATCACTATAACAGAGATTAATTTGGTGCTCATCAGCAGGATATCTGGGCTCCCTAAGGGGCTCAGCTGAGACTCAGGCTCTCTCATGCAGAGACCATGCACCCTGCTTCCCTAAAGTTTTATCAGTTAGCTAGGAAAACAAGTGCAGTTAGGGAGGCCTGGGCAAAGAGGTGCTTCTTGCAGTGCTTCCTAAACAAGGCCCGGGTCATGCAGGGAGCAACAACATGCACATGCTTCTGACTCTATTTTGGCTCTGAATGACGAGGATTTGTAAAAGAACATTTCCAATCTACACAACTCCCTGTGCTGCTTGGCTCTGACAACGCGGCCAAACATGGTACCAGAGGGCTGCTTCCATTCTCTGCAGATGCGGTGCTGGGGAGTCCTCCCTTTGTACCACTGGCAGCACTGAAGATGGCAAGCAGAATGCCCCAATCCCTGTTGCCTCTTTTCCCGCATGTATCCATTCAGTTCTCCCAGGGTTTTGCGGTGTGCTACCACTTACCTTGGCACCCTTGTCTGCAAGCCTCTGGAACATGTTGGCATACATCTTCTTTTCTCTCTCATGCTGCTCCCGGATCTTTTGCTGACAGGCTAGTAGCTGCACTTTGGCTGCTTTGTTGCTAGGGTAAAGTTGTAGCACCTTCTGGAAATCTGCCCGGGCCAATTCAAAGTCATTGACAGCTAGATGGGCCTCGCCACGCCGGAAAAGGCCTTTCTCGTTGCTGCTGTCCAACTCAAGCGCCTGGATAGGAAGGGAGCAGCAGGCTGTAGTTTGGTTTCAGGAAATACAGCCAGACAATCAGCAGGAGACACTTAAGGGATGAGCTTGCTTATTTTACAGGGTAAACACTCCAGGAATTCTGGGCTTGGTAAGACAAAGGGAGGCAGTGTGGTTTAGCAACTAGGGCATCTGACAGGGAGTCAGGAGATGTGGGTTCTAGTCCTGGCTGGGTCACTGGCTTCCTGTGTGACCTTGGGTAAGTCATCTAACTTCTCTGTACCTCCGTTTCCCTATTTGTAAAGTGTAGCTTACCTTCCTTTCTAAAGTGCCTAGAGATTCTCAAACAAGAAGCTATTAAAAAATCCCCCCCAGGGAACGAAGATGGAAAAGAATAATAATTTCCATTGAGGAATTTGATATATTGGCCCTTCCCAGGGGTGGACGCAGGGTAAGAGAGGCACAAACCCACCACAGTGATTTCTGTTGCCCAGCTAGTTACAGCAAGATCCAGATGCTCTGCCTACTTTGCTCACTAGGGTGTATAAAACCTTGTTACCTTGCTGCAGTTTTCCAAGGCCAGTGAGTACTCCTTCAGCTTCAGATGGCACATGGCCAGGTTAAGGAGGGCAGCAAGCCTCAGGCTCTTGGCCTTTGCATCATCCTCTTCAGAGAAGCCTGTTTCGTGCTCCAGCCAGGATGCAATCTTCTTGTATTGTAATGTTGCCTGTTTGTACTTCCCTTCCTGTAGTCAATAAAGTTGGAGTTAGTCCAGCTCCACCCTCCTCTTCACAACACTCCCTACTCCCTTTTTCAACCCAGGAACAGCTACCTTAAGGTGAACAGAGAAAATTTTCTGTGGCCAAACTCCACACAAGTGCTGTACGTGAAGACAAAAATCACATACTAATATGCTTCTGGGTGGTTGTGCACAAATCACAGGAACAGGCCAGAATCCCACTGGGGAGCACAGTCCCCCATGAGTGCCAGATGTCTGAAACAGAGCAGGGAAAGACAGGACACCACTGTCCCCCCACTGCCGCAACTGGTTAGATGCAGAGAGCAGGGAGCATGCTGTACTCTCTGAGCGTAGTGCAGCTACCACTCTGGCATGTGTGCCATGAAGGCCCCCAAGAAGAAAGCAGCCATGACAGCTAAAACTCCTCCTGGCGACCCCAGCTGTAACATGGCCGCTTCAGGCCCCCCTTTGTGGGCAGAACCTTGCCCATGTGCAGCACTATCTCATAGCAGCAAATTCAAGCATTGTAGCTTTGCCACATTGTTCCTGCACAGAGGAGAACTCCCTGTAGAGCTGCAAAAGCCCCAGGGTCACTAACCCCAGACATATAAGAGAGAAAAATACCAAGTGGGTACACCTTGCAAGGCTCCACCTCCAGCTCTTTGTCCCCAGGGAAAGTGCAGAATGGACACTAAGGAGAGCTCCCTAACAGGACAAAAAAACCTCCAAGGCCCATCCTCCAGCATCCGAGAAAAAACTAAGATAAGTACCCCTATCTTCAGCAGCACATTGCATGCAACATGCCATCAATGTGTGAGACAGCCCTGCAACAGGGTCTTCTCCAGCACCAATACTGACCTGTAGCAGGGACTGGGCAATGCTGACCACACGCAGGGAGGACTCTAACTTACCTTGAAATATTGGGTGCCTCTCTCCTTCACAATGGAGCTTTGTTCCAGCTTCTCTTCTGTATTCATCTCCCAAGATTCCTTAGCCTGTCCAGACAGAAACAGTTCAGTCATCCATCAGATACTGGAAGAAACTGTGATGCTGGCAGACCAGGTGCCAGTTCATGCCAAGGTATCCATGTCTCAACTCAATACTGACAAATACAGAGCTGGAATCAGTCTGGCTCAACTGTGTGTTAGTATTGTTAAAACAGGTATGAGAATTGTAAGATTGTGTTCAGTGTTTACACTTTACTAAATGCTTGTGAGTTGTTGTAGACGTTAATCTCACTTAAAACATCTGTATCTCGTACTGTAAGATAATATTTGAACACTTGTATTGTGAGCCTCTGTGACTGTGTAAATCACCAGACACGAGAAAGACATTAACTAGTGTAAAGTGCTGATCTCCAACAGAAGAGGTTACATCCTACCCAATGGGAAAAGTCCATTGACACCAGACATACTATTGTGGGATGATAAAGAGGACAACGGATGTTTGTTATTTTGCCTCTTCACCCCTCTCTCCCTGTGAAGATGCTGAGCTTGCACCTCAGAGCACAAAGGATAAGAGGAATCAAACCCCAAACAGAAGGAAATCTATGCTGCTTGAACTGTGGGGGGCAAGGTTTACTAGGCGTAAGTGAGAGATCCCCAGTGCTTAACCTGGGTTAGCTCTAAAGGTCGTGTAGAGCTTGCTTATTATAGAAACTTCTATTACTTTTCAAAACTTAAGATTTTAACTCATTTGTGTATCTCTTTACCTGCTTTAACCTTGTAAATAACTCTTGTTTCCTCTTCCTACTTAATAAATCTTTAGATAGTTTATTATAGAATTGCTTACAGGTATTGTCTTTGGTGTGAGATCTAAGGTACAACTGATATGGGGTAAAGTGACTGGTCTTTTGGGATTGGGAGTGACCTGAATATTGCTGTGATTCTTGGTATAAGGGACGATCTACCACAAAAGTACGCTCACCTGGGTGGTGAAATGGATTGGAGTACCCAAGGGGACTGTCTGTGACGCCATGCTTAGGGCTGTTATAGTGCCTGAGGAGTTTACACTTGATAATTGGTTAGGGAAATCTAAGTATAAACTCACAACCAGTCTGGGGTTTGTGCCCTTCTTCCTAACAGTCTGCCCTGAGGTTGGTACTCAGGCTCTTGAGTCACTGCAGGCAGCATTACAGAAATCAATCAGTATGTGCTGCATCTTTTTATGGGGTAAGGAGAGGAAGGAAGGCATGGAAGAATGGGTGGAGGTATTGCCACTGAGCATGAGGGAACTGGATTACAGCAGGAGAGATGCTGCTCAAAGCAGATGTGGGTCCACTGAGAATATAGGGGATTTCGTCCAAGGATTCCTATTCCCACTTCACCTTCCATAGGTTTATTATTTTTCCCATCCTCAGCTGATCAAAGTTCACCTCTTCCTCCTGCTCTCTCAGGCAGAGCCTGTATCCACACACACCCCTTTCCCCATCCCAACAGGACTTCATCCCTTTGTTCCTACCTTTTCAAAGCTTTTCAGTTTCACTTCATATTGCAGATCTGCATTTGGAGGGATCTGAAACTTCTCCTTCCCAGCACTCCCAAAACCGTAGCTGTAAGAGAAATAAGTGGCTTCTAAAGAATCCAGCTAGACCTGTTCTCTGTTAGGGAAGCAGAAGCCAAGAGAACATGCCTATATAGATGCACC